TTTTTCCTATATGGTATGGAATAAAGATCGTGCTGTTAGTGTTACATGCATGCAAATGGTAATTCACAATGATGTAAAGGCTAATGAAATTCAATTATGGGTTGTCCATAACTACCAACATTTCCTGAAGTGTACAAACTATATGCTTCAGGTAGGCGGGTTCATAACCAATATTCATCGGTTAAGTCGCTGTGCGAGGGGGTTGAAAAGTGTATTCTCTGTACACCTGTGATAATTATGGATGATTTACAATGTAACACTAATGCTAGATTTAACTGAAAATAATTTTATAGTTACGTTGAATATATTTTAAATGTTCCATTTGTGGCATCCATTAATGGTGGTCAGTGGCATCCATTCGTGTGGAAAATTCAAGTAGCTGTGCTCCAGCAACTGGCTGCAGTGGCACAAATTATTGACATAACCAAAATTTTAATATTGCATAGGATCTTAGATTCGTTTTTATTATTTCCTGGTGTCCTACGAGCCCAGCAAGAACTGCTTATTTTATTATTATAATTTTTAAACATGTAACAATTAAGCTATACAAACAGCAATCGTTCTGTGCGTCTATTTCTGCTATAAAAATGCTTAAATGCATATTCATCTGAGACTGATATTAAACTGTCACATGAAGCAGACAAGAGGTTTTCGTACTAGTTAAACAAGTGGTAGTATTTGAGAGGAACTAAACGTCACAAACGCAAATGGTTCTGTGGTTTGTTTGATCATACAGTGTGTGTGTATATATTCATACCTTCGATAACGATGTGAACATAAGCTGCCTCTCAACTTTGAAGTACCAAAATGATGTCTATATTCACACTACGATTTCCATTATATATTGTGCCTAATATTAGGCTGAAAGTTGGAAAATATTTGCCAGAAACGAGCTTCGTGCCTTGGCGAAGCATGCATTTTACTACAAACAAATTATTGTTGTGAAAATCCTTGTAAATCATGCAACCAATCATAGGGCTCGTTACAAGAAGTATTTAGCGGTAAACCAATCATATTCATTATAACAACATCCTCAAAGCACATGTCAAGGTCAAATGTATAAACCAATCACAACGCAGTTTAGAACAGCCTTTACCAGGGTCTTCTCATTTTTCACGCGCCATGCACGAAGAAAATTGTAAGGATGAGAAATGGCCACATACTTGTCAAATAAAAATTGCCGGTCAAAATCACATTCTTCCACCATTCGGAATTATGTGGATCTGCTCTTATTGTGTTTCTACAAAGTAAATCCACAAATCTGTATGTTGTTTATGTGTTTGCCTTCACTTTGCTTGTAAAATAAGGCTCGTACTTTGCAGTATAAACCTGTTCCAAAATGCTCTGAAAATTTGCAAAATATCAACATTGTTCAAAGTATGTCTTTTGGCCATTTAAGACAGATGTACAAGAACAAATTTAGTAATTTCTTGTCCAAATTCACCATCGTTTACTTCGCCATTTTGTCTGAGGGTTTCGCTGTCTAGGGGGGTTTCCCCTAATGCTCTTACAATGATGAAATCATTTTGCAATACCTCATTTGCAAGTAAAATGTCCGCAATTTAGGTATGTGCTTAAGACACGTGAAAGAAAGATAATTTGTACACCGGATATGCTGTATCCTCTTTTAAAGAAATGGTATGGAATAGTACAAGGATATATCAAACCAAATTCAATCCAGGCAAGTTCAACAAAACATGAACACTGAAGGCCAGATGTTGTAAAGTTCAGAGTTGGCTTTAAGAGATGATGAATTTCATGATGATTTTCAGATGATGATAACTCTGTGAATTATGTATACCTTTTAGATTATTGTATTCCTGGTAGGTTTTTACAAGTTACAGCAGATAAAGTTGTAAGAAATAAAGTTGACAAATCTCTAAAGATTGTGGGAGGTGTGGCACATCTGTGTAAGAAGATCAGGGGAAGGGCTAGAATGGATTTGGATAAAAGAGTGAGAGTTCCATGTGTTTGAGGGAGAAACCATGTCTCTGATGAGTTACATGAACAAATAAGAAGTATACAAGATGAGCTAAAAGAATGGAAAGAGAAATATATTAATTTGGAAGAAGAAAAGGAAAAAAATGGCATTTAATGAAAAACAACAAAGAGCTTGAAAGATTATGTTGAAAATTTTTCCAAGGCTGTTGGTATTTCTTCTTACCATGCATAGGCATTATCAAACATAAACACTAACTAAACCTAAGCTTAAAACAAGCTTTTATACTATAAACATTAAAATAATTAATTAAACATGCATGCAGCAATTGATTTGCTATTACACTGACATAATCCAAATTAAAATCAGTGGTGATGGAGCAAAAATGACCAATAATTCTAATTTTATTATCATTTGCCATCCTGCAGACTCGTGAGTGTGTTATGTCAGCTAAGGGAAATAGAACAATTGGAGTTGTTAATGGGAAAGAGGACTACAGCACAATAAAAGAAGCGTTCACATATATTATTGATGAATTAAACCAATTTATTGCTGATGGAAAACTTAATGTTGAAGGTAAGGGACATCAACATTGAATTTTTCTTGGGTGGGAATTATAAATTTATCCTTATGATACTGGGCCTGAAATGGAGCCATATCTAAATATGCATGTGCCTAGTGTAAAATACATAAGGATGGAAGGTGGAAGATGGATCAGCATTATAGTTATTACAATGAACCTACACCTATCAAGATCTCTGGAAGAAATTATGGCTATGAGCAAGAAATCTACAGATAATTTCTGTTGTCAAACATTTAACAAGACGACCATGTATTTCCAGATGAACTACATTTGCTATAACATGTAACTGATATTCTCACTGAGAACCTAATACAAGAATGCCTTGATTTGGACAAGTACCACCTTTTACCGTTGTAGAGGTGCCCAGCGTGGAATTCATCTAAAGAAACTAGTCAATACAATTAGGTCTTGTGGTTTTTCTTTTGACGTTTGGGAGAAGAGAGATGGAGATGGAAAGTTAAGTGGCAAGCACTATTGGACAATTCTGTTGGGTTCTGACAAGAAAGTGTTTTGGCTGAGCTACCGCCAAAATTGGTAGATGTTTTGTACCAAGACACAAACATTTGAAGGTGTTATCAACATATGGCAAGGATTTGAATCAGTTTACAAGGTCATTACCAATTGGGCCCCTGAAAAAAAATCCACACACTTTTGGATGATGGCAAAGGACTGGGTAAAGTAGACGGATTACCACCTATATTCATGTTGTGGTTCAACACTTTACCAAATTTCTTGAGCTACACCGGTCAGTAAAAATTCATGGGGCATGGAGTGGAAAAAAAAATATTGCTTGGGGGATAGTACTGCGAAAACCAAACAAATGGGATGCGACTGCTGATGTTCTACGACACGAGAAGAGGCAGTGGGAACTGAAAGAGTGCAAAAGGATGCCAAGAAGTTATGGAAAAAAGGATGACAGATACTGGGAAAGTGACATCAGGAAAAACAGGGAAAAAGGAATAGGGTAAGTGTTAAACTGTAAATCCACGAGACATCAGTTGAGAATCAGACAAATGCAGATACATCAAGTACTGGTTCTGCTCCCATTCCTGAGGCACCCCTAATTGCCAACCCCAGTACGGGCACAAGTGCAAACCCAGGTGCCAGCACTAGTTCCAGCATTGTGGAGTTTTCAAGATTGAACATTAAACAATTAAGACAAGAATTACGAAATCGAAATGGTAAATGATTTAGCAGAAAAAATAAAGCTGAACTAATTGAACAATTGAAACAAATACAAGAAGAACAGTAAGAACACAATGTTATAGTCACAGTTAATTGAAGAAAGCTTGTGCTGACCACTGCACCAAATTGTAAACAGTAAACATACTGTAAATAACTACAAATTTACATAATAATAGCATATATTTTAGATTAATTAAGTGAACATTTAACACAATATCAACACAAACTACTTCAAATAAGAGATAAATAAAGAATAAACATGTGAAACCCTAAGTCCTATTTGAATAACTATGCCTATCGGCAACTTTATTCTGTCAATAGAATAAATCCACCTTCAAGAAATCATTCTCTTCCCAGTATTTTTTTGAGCAATACAAGATCTATGGTTAATAAATTGGAAGACGTTTCGGCTACAATCTCGCTGAATAATCCTGATATAGCCGTAATTACAGAGTCCTGGCTTACATAATGTATAAACGACAAATTAATAAAAATCCCTGGCTAATCTATCTGCCGTAAAGTTAAAACAAATTGTGTTGGAGGAGGTTTGTGCACATATATAGTTGTACAACCTTAAATTTTATTGAACTTAAAGAACTTCAAAATCCAGATATCGAGTGCGAGTTGTTGTTTCTTAAACCATCTTGTCTTCCCCGTGGAATTAACAATGTAATTTTGGGCGCAGTGTATCACCCAAACAATGACAATACTCTACGTGCACACATTTTTGAGGCATTTGATAAAGCACTAACTATCCGAACTCTGCAATAATATCAGCTGGCGATTTTAATAAATTCACACCTGGAAACTTGTGTTTGTCCTTTAAACTGAAACAATTTGTTGATAAACCTACCAGTAGAAGCAATATTTTGGACAAAATTTACACCTCTGTTCCAAATTTTTATGATAAAGTTCATTTTCATCCTCCCATAGCAACGTTGGATCATTCAAGTGTCCTTTTGTCGCCGAGTGCACCATCTTCTTGTGAGAGAATTCCAAAGAAACTAATTCAGTTTAGAGCCTGTAATCCCTCCCACAAGGGTGCCCTTCGACGTTTTCTGAACACATATGACTGGTCTACACTTTCTGATCTTGGGTCTTGTATGGAGAAACTAGACTGTTTCATGTCCATTGTTCAGTTGGCATTGAATATGTAAATTCCTATTCGCACCATCAAAGTTCATCACAATGATAAACCTTGGATGACCCAAAAAATCAAAGATTTGATTTCAAAATGTCAAAAGACGAAAGGCCTCACTTTTACGTATAAATTTTACAGAAACAGGTGCAGTTGTGAATGCAAACAAGCCTGTCGCCGCTTCTATGAAGAAAAAGTCAACAATAATGGAAACGTCAATCCAAGTAAATGGTGGCGCCAAGTAAAACAATTAGCCGGCCTATCGAAACCTAATCTTCTAACCAGTATATTTCATGATGGTGAGTTCCATTATGGCAAGGATCTAGCTGAGATAATGTTTCTTTTTGTAAATCAACAGAAGATATCCTATCACTACCAAGGGAACAAATCCGACTTTCTCCCAACACCTTGTTTGTTGACCCTGTACGATTATAGCATCAGTGTCAACTCAGTTGAAAAGGCATTGGCCCAAATCCAAACGAAAAAATCAATTGCCCAGATTCAATACCAAACTGGATCTTAAAGATTTTGCCTCCATACTTGCCCCTCCAATCACAAGCATTTTCAATGCTTCCATATCGCAATGCCAGGTACCAACCCTATGGAAAAGTGTGGACATCATTCCTGCACCGAAAGTCCCGAAACCTGTATCAATTGACAACGACCTTTGGCCGATTTTGCTGACTGCAGTTTTGAGTAAGATCTTGGAGGGCCATGTCTTTGACTGGCTATATCTTGTGTTTCGGAAATTGTCAACGAAATTTGAAAGGAGTATCAACAATGCATGTGTTGGTCCATTTACTTCACCACTGGCTCAAAGCCACAGACTCTCCAAAAACAATTGTCTGCCCATGTATGATAGACTTTTCTAAAGCCTTCGATAGAATAGACCACATTCTTTTGCTTAAGCTTGAGCAGATGAAGGATACCTGCTATTCTTTTAAAATGGTGCTAAAATTTTCTCTGTGACCAAAAGCAGCATGTAAAGTTGGGAAATACTAAATCTGGTTGGAGAGCTACACACACTGGAGTACCACAGGGTACAAAACTTGGTACACTATTTTCCTTGTCACAATAAATTATTTATGCCCCAATTATCCAATGTATAAGTACATAGATGATAGCTCATCTTAAGAAATTCTTTCACACCAGTTTCAGTTGGGCTACCTGTTCAAGATGGCGGATGTTATTTTTTAGCTCTGTCAAATTTGAACAGAAATTCTTAGTACTACAATTGAGATAAAGGGCTTTAGTACATTTTATTTTGCTCACTTGTGTGCTTTTGTATACCAGACATTGGCACTGGAAGTCTATCACATAGCCATTTAAATCTGACCAGTTTTGGGAATCTGAAAATACAAGATGGCGGTAACTGGTACTGGTGTTTTCGATGGCATTATACAGGCTTGGAGAACCTTTCCAAAGGATGATATGCTACGAAAGCTATCTTATGAGAACTCAGTTGAAGAACTAACAAGTTTAAAATTTGATCTATTGGGTAGATGTCAAAGATATGAAAATTTCCCGAAAGGTGACCCTTATTTTAAGACATAAACCCAAGGGTAACAGTTCTTGTTCAAGTTTAGAGGAAAGACTGTCAAGTGATATTTGTGAGCTGCTTACTTTCCTAGACACTAAAGTAGTTACTACTGTGATGATGAAAACAACCTGTTGCCTGGTCTTACCTTTGTGGCTCCTCCATTAGCAGTAGGGGCTTCCCCTTTACGCGAAAGTGGATGGTCGGAGTCAAAAGCAAGATAGCGACCTTTGAAAGTATGTTCTTGCTATACAAGGAGAAAGCTGGTCGAGAGATAACTGATCTTGTAAACAAAGTAAAAAATTTAACAGCTACAGTTATTGAACAAAAGAAAGAGATAGACCAGTTAAAGTCAGAGAGCCACAATTGCAAGAAATGAGAATGAGCATTGATGCCCTTGGAAAAAGTAATGCAACTGAATTACAATCCACCGAAAGAGGTCGAACAGATCACAATAATTCGATTGAGAATCAGTCACATAGAAGTTCCCGCACTAATGATGAAGCAACTGATTTGGAAAAATCTCTCAAAGAATGTCATGTTTGCAACAGATTGAAGAAACAGATCTTGTGCCTATACCCGATCAACCAAACGATGATTTGCCTATTTCATCGGGTACTCTACAACAACAAAGTCAGTCGATAAATTCATTACAAGAAAAGAGTATTCAAAGTCAAGGCAAACCTCCTGCTACCCATGACCAAATTCTGTGTACTAGGAGTTTCGGCACTCAGACAGCAGCAGTAGAAGATCAAACAGTTAAACAGCCTGGTGAAAATCTTCCACCCAGGGACTTTGTCAACCAGCTCAAGAGCTACAAGGCGACCCAAAGAGACAACTTTGAAAGCCTAAAACCTCGACATGATGAAAGAAAAATTTGAAAAGCAACAAAACCAAAAAATTCTCATCATGAGCAAGGCAAAAATCAAAAATCAATGAAGCCAAAAATTCCTACACAAGCTGAAAACAATAGGATCACTGAGCTGGAATGAATGATCAAGAATATGGAACAGGAAAATGAGTCTCTCAAAACAATTATGCAAATCCAAAAAAATGAGTTCAATCAAGCACTCAGTGAAAAAGAAGACAAGGAAAATCATCGCCCGTGGCAAATTTTCAAGCCAAAACAGACCATCAACTTGAAAGGCAAACAAGACAAAAGAAAACGTGAAAGGACAGACCAAAATCCAATTCATATAACAACCTCAAACCAATATGAAAGCCTTGAAAGCAAAGAAATCCAGGAGATCATGACAAAAACTGATAAGCCAACAAATGTAGAAAACAAGGATAAACCTAAAAATACTACAGAGAATTCCAAATCGACGTATATCCACCGAAAAAGCAAGGGGAGTACAGTCGTAATCGGCGATTCTCTACTCAAAGGTCTTTGCCAGCATTCAATATCAAAAGCAGTTAAGACTAAAACGACAGTTAAATGTTTTCCAGGAGCGAAAGTCGATGATTTGAATCACTATTGTATTCCAGTTTTGGCAACGAAGCCTAAACATGCTGCTATCACACACTGTGGAACAAACGATCTTCGTACTAAAAACCCGCAAGAAATAACAAGCAGATGGGGGCTTCATGTGATTTTATCGTGGAAAAATGTCCTGATATTCATATCATGGTATCATCGTTGATCACTAGAAATGATGACCAAGACAAAAAAGTCATTGAGGTAAATATGCGTAAATACGCTTAGCTTTCTACTGCATGACAACTTAGACAAGAAATGTCTAAATCAATCAGGACTTCACCTAAACAAATTCGGAGACTCTATTTTAGCAAAAAAATTTATTGAAACAATAAAACGTTTTTAACCTAGAGCCTGAGTATATTCCAAGCTGCAGCACACCAGTTATCATGCCTGAATATCTGTGTGTTTATGGTGATGATTTACTATCAAATGAAGCGAACTTAAGCAAAAATAAGCTGGATACTCTAAAAGGCTTTAGAATAGCTAATTTAAACATAACCTCTTTACCTAAATACATTGATCAATTAAGAACTTATCTTGTCAACAAACCAGTTGATATAACCAGGTTAGATGAGTCTATCAATGATGTAGAGGTTAATATCGAAGGATATAACCTGTGTAGAAAAGATATATGTAGATATGGTGGTGGTGTAGCTATTTACACTAGGGATGTTTTGAATGTGAGGGAGATGTGTCCGTTTGTCCCGGAAAACATTGAAGCTGTTTGTCTAGAAATCATCAAACCTAAATCTAAACAATATTGCTCACTACTGTTTATCGACCTCCAAAAGTTCTAATGCTAGTCTTATGGATGATTTGGAAAACTATTTTCACATATTAGATGAGCAAGACAAAGAACTAATTCTCACAGGGGATTTAAACTGTGACCTCTCCCAGTCTTGCAAAGCCATTCACATAGACTTATGGACATCCTGGAACTTTTTCAAATGAATCAAGTGATAACAGGTGGCACCACTTACAACAGGTAACACTGACTCATTACTTGACATAATTGCTACAAATGTCCTGATAAAGTAAAAGAAAGTGGCGTATTCCATTTAGGTATTAGCGATCACAGTCATGTATAAGATGTGCCTAAAAATATCGTTACCTAGTGAAAAACCCAAGATTGTAGAAAGTAGAAATTTAAAAAACTATAATATTAATGATTTCAACAACCACATTTCTCATTTATTGAGTAACACGGCTTGGAATCATAAAGATCCAGATCGATCATGGAATCAATTCAAAACTATATTCAACTATGTATCAGATATTTATGCTCCAGTTAAAACTAGAAAAGTTAGGAGCACTTATGCTCCATGGCTAACTACTGAGATTAGGTATGAGATGGAATAAGCGTGATTACTTAAAAAAGAGAGCAGATAAAAGTAATTCTAACAGCCTTCATCGAGTTTATCAGGCAAAGCGAAATGAAGTAAACAAATTAATTAGATCTGCAAAATTTCGATATTGTAAGGATAATATTGATATAAATAAACACAATCCTAAAGAGATGTGGAAAATATAGGGTCAGTGGAAAGGGTCGGTATTCTAAAACCACCACCATATCCGCAATTAAAGATGATCTGGGTAATACTATCCATGAGGAAAAGTTAATAGCAGACCAACTCAATAAATACTTCGTTGAAATTGGTCCAAAATTATCAAATAAATTGCCTGCCAGTCCTCATTTTTGAAATTTGAAGCCTGGAAATGCCATTTCCTGCGTTCTGAGCACTACATGTGACCATTAAATTTGTCCTCATTGTATTCATTTCTCAAGCAAAAATAAGCCGGAAAGATCTCAAAATGTAAAATATCGCTCGCATATATCTTAACATACGATACCGGTATGATACTCGTATCATATGCATATCATTAATTGAATACCGAAATACGCGTATCATCTACGAACGCGTGTATCATACGAATACGCTAATCATATGAACGCGCCCGCGTATCATACGAATACGCGTATCTTACGCATTACAAACAAATATCGTATATACGTATATACGCATTACAAACAAATATTAGGGCACTATAAAACACAATATATATATACGCGTATCATAATTCGCGTATTAATTCCAATACATGCAGGTATACTGTACATACGCGCACAAACACTTTAATAATAATAAAGCGAAGTTAATAGCGAACACTATGCAGTAAAAACTCAAATTAAAATATTAATGTGCATCTCTTATTATTCATAAGGCTTACCTGACTGGAAATGATTCGTTTTACTATCTGATTTTATTTCTACCTCGACGCATATATATTCATTGGCTTTAAGACGGCTTTCATTTCAAAATGCACACAATTGTACTGTGGGTTCCCAATAGCATGTTGTTGATGAGCCAAACACAAATATCAGATATTCCATCGTTCTGGAGCAGTAGCCAATTTCATGCCACCGTAGCAAACTATAGCATTTGCCCCATTCTGATTTGGTTTGCTACACGTTTGACCGTAACAAACCAATCAGAATGCCGTATATGCCAATTTTCGCTACGGTCAGATTCGACCTTAATGAATCTGACTGTAGCGAAAATTGATCATATATGGGCAACACACTACGGTGTATTTCTGAAGGATGATATTTTTTAAGCTACAGTCCATTGCGTAATGACCCGCAAACAGGCAATTACAAGCGTATTTTCGGACGGGAATTCTTAAAACAATTAACATGTTACGTATGAATGTCATCAATTTGTCAAAATAAAATGTTTTAAACATATAAAACTAAATAAAATAAAACCTTGGAATATAAACAAGGAAAGTAAACAAAATATTGCTAAATTATATTTTAGATTGATTTTATGATCCATGTTAGAACTGGCCTATGGAAAATCTGACCGTAGCATATGTTACAGTTGCAACGGTTTAAATCCGCCCCTGGTACAAAATATATCATATGTATTCAAATATCAGAAAAATGTAAAAAACGCCCTCCCGCCTCTGAAAATTTGCGAGAGTGTGACGCTAACCAAGTTTTTTTTATTTGGCCTGAGCATTGAAATGTTCCATTAATGAGATTAAAACTTTTTTGTGATTTTGATAAAAAATACCCTAACTTTAACAGGATATTTTACTGTAACTCCATCACCAATTCTGTCAAAAATTATGTCCCAATTATCTACATTTTCTAAAATCATTTTTCTCTAATAATAAATACTTGTTGTCCCTTGATTTTCTTCCCCTCCCATAAAATAAATATCTAAAGCAATCATGTTCAAAGTCTATAACTAATTTGTTATTACTCTTGGCCTTCAACTTTGTAGTAATGGCTACCCTTAAGAAGTCCAGATTTTAGCCCAATCTTTCTGGCTGGATTGATGGCTCGTTATAACTTCCGAAAAAAAACCCAATTACCTTACATTACATCATAAATGCAGTGCTACTATTTCACTGTGCTTAAGAACCATTTATGTTATAATGACCAACAAAATTGCTTATATTCCATGATTAAGTTTATAATTTGCGATTACACATGCCATGTTTAATGACCCATATTTTTAACAAAAATGTAGGTTATTATTGATCATGACAAGGTGACTAACAAAATTAAAATACACTATGTTGAATTCACGCAAAAATTTGATGAGTTGAGGGATTGCTATGATTTACCATTGTCTAATGCCATAAGTAGCATGTGACGGCGGTTTTGTGCTGGCAACATATCATTAGAGGACAGAAGCTCATGGCTCTTTGATCACTAGCAAGGAAAATAAAACATCAACTCTTCACAACAGACCACAACAAGAGAATCATCAGATATCAGAATTGAGGAAGTGTTGGAGCAAGATATTTATGACAGATACTTGACCAAAATTGGAGAGATAGAAAAGTTCAAGGGGAAGCAAATACACTGCGTGAACACAGTGTTGAAGATGAAGGTTTGGCCAAACTTTTAGGGAAAAAATGGTACAAACGGATTTTAAATAATAAAAACGGTGACTTTTCTTACATTATCAAAGGGGCAATTCAATTTTGACTCAATCAAAAGCCTTCAATAAAGGAATATTTGTTGGTTGGTAAACATCTTGTTGAAAATGAAATTGATTTATTGCTGGTTGCTAATATTTACATTTGTAAGAGGAGATGATGTGAATGGCTAGCACCTCGTTTTTCACACACACTTTTCAGTGTTTCATATGCTGGTAATAAACACTTTCCCATTTATAATATATTACTTATTGCTAATTCCCTTTTCAAATACCCATTTCTTATTTAATAAACGTATTAACCCATTGACTGTCAATGTGTCCTACTTTAGTACCAGTAATATATATTTAGCTGAAGCTTTTTGTGTCTTTTATTATGTTCTCAGAGGATAAGACAGATCCATACATTTTGTCCAATGACAAGTGCATTTTCAATCAACTGATCTAGTATATTAATTCAGTCATTATTCATTGCAACAAATCTTGCTCCACTTGTTTCCTAGGTTTGTAATGTGCTGTGGTGAGCAACATGGCTTATATTTACAATTGCTACACATGCAAGTTTTTTATTATGTCAACCAGTAGAACAGTTGCTGCAACTAAGCTGCCAAGCAACCAAGATCCTCCAAATGCTCCATGCTGATCTAAAAAAGTCCGTAGTAGTTTTGTCATTTAGGTTTTCCAGACATGGCTTGGGTAAACAAAAACAGATTAAACCAGGATTTTGGTCTGCTGGTTGAATTGACAAATATCCATTCCTGAGTCATTAGTTGAACTTAACATGTCTACAGAAACCATAAAATCATCCCATACCTGTTGGATTGTTTCCATATTTGGATAATCAGTTAAAATGTCATCAGTTAAAATGTCAGCAGTGTTTATATTTCTGAAAAGTTTTTGCCATTCCAGTTTCTTACTGTCTTTACAGACATACCAATGGAATCATATTTTCAGTGCATGATCTAGATAGCTTTGCCAAGCAGCCATGTGTTTATATTTTGGTGGTTCAAAGCCTTCATTGAAGACTCTTTTTGTCGATTGCATTGGCCCCGTCACAACTGCAGTATCAGTAAATTTATTAAATTATCAGAAATTTGCAGGAACAAATGCAATAAATCGGTCACAACATGGTCCAGGGGAATTGTGGGACATTGTACTGTGTAGCAGTAGATTCTTTTGTCGCCATTTCTTGAATCTGTTCTAGCACCACTATTGACATCTCTTGTTTCTCACAGGTGTCCTTCAAAGTTATCAAAGTCCTGTCCAACACAGTCAAAAATTCTTCCAAGTCACTTAAATTTTTGGATTGTACCTTTTTCCAATTCTTCAATGCGGTCAATGTCTTAATTTGAAGTCGCCTCTGACCTCCATATTTCTTTTCTAATTTTTGTTTAGCTCTCTCATAAGCATTAGAGGAAAATCCTAGATCTTTAACCAATTTAAGTGCTTTGCCTTTCAAACTGTTTTGCAGTCTCAACATTTTCTCGTTAACTGGTATGTCTGCATAGTCAACAGCAGACGTGAACGCAGCTTTCCACTGTTCGTATTCTACTTTGTCTTCCCCATCAAATGTTGGCAAGTCCACACCTTTTAATTTAATGGGCCCCACCCTGTGTGAAGTTGGGGTTTTTGAACTTGGTGCTGCTGGTGATGGTTGCCAGGTATAAGGGATACGTGGTTGTTGTCTCGGAATATATCTACTCATGCTGTCAAGAACAGGTGGTGGTAACTGGGTATGTAGCTGGTATGTGTTAGGGTTATATCTATTCAGAACAGGTTTGGAGGTTTGTTGCCATGGAAACTGAGGAGGATGACCTTGAGAGGAAAAACCATCACTTAGGTCAGGATCTGGGATGGGTCGTTGCAGGGACTGGGATGAAGTAAATGCTGTGGCACTTGGGTCTAGGATTTGTTGTGGTTGGAGGTGACCAGGGTGTGTCGCAGGTGGAGAGGTACTAGGGTCTAGGGTTTGTTGTGGTTGGAGGTGACCAGGGTGTGTCGCAGGTGGAGAGGTACTAGGGTATAGGGTTTGTTGTGGTTGGAGGTGACTAAGGTGTGTTTCAGGTGGAGGGGCACTAGGGTCTAGGGTTTGTTGCGGTGTAAACTGATTAGGGTCCATCTCATTCAGGGGGGTACTAGGACCTGGTACCTGTTGTGGTTGGAGGTGACTAAGGTGTGTTTCAGGTGGAGGGGCACTAGGGTCTAGGGTTTGTTGTGGTTGGAGCTGATTAGGGTCCATCTCATTCAGGGGGGTACTAGGACCTGGTACCTGTTGTGGTAATTGACTGTGGGAACATGTTTCATCAGAGTCATGCGCTGTTTTGGGGGTGGTATTATGATATCTAGCATCAATAATACAAACAATCTTACGTGCCTCATCTGTTCTTTGTTTTGCAAGTTCAAGTTCTACAGCTTTCCTTTGAAGCTCTTCTTCTTTTTGGTTTTCCTCTGCTTGTAATGTTAAGACTCTTTTGTTTGCTGCCTCTGTCTCTGATTGTTGTATTTCATACTCAGAATGGGTTGAGCCTGATGGAGCTATTGATTCCAATTCGCCCCCTTCCAATCTTTCTTTTAAATGTGTTTCCGCAGCTTCTATAATGACATCCACCTGATTGCCTATTTCATCAATTTCTCTTTCTATCTGTTCTACCTCTGTTTCCGATTCTGGTATGCTCTCGAATATAAACATTTCTTTCAATTTGTTTAGTAATTTTTCTATTATAAGAAATTCCGATTTGATTTTACTAATATATCGTCTAATTGTGTTCTTACTTGCTTTTGTTGTTGATAGGAGCTCGTATAATTTGTTCCTTTCTCTTGTAAGCCTTGTCTTAGCATTTCTTTTCTCACGTTTCAGTCGTTCTATACTTTTCAAAGTCCCAGAAGTATCCGCCATCTTGGATTTTTACGATCTTGTGTTTCGTTTTAATTGCCAAATTTCCCGATTAAATCCGGCTGTCGAAGGTCCAAATGTTCTCACCAACTTGAGAACGTAGTTTGATCTGCTGGTTCTTGCCTAGTTTAACTCAAAATCTCTATTTTTATGACAAATTTATTGAATTTTTAACCGCCAACTCGGTTAGAATATAAAAGTATAAAATCTATTTTCCCCATGTGTCCGAGCCCGCGATATATGGCGGGAAACTATAACTACTTCATCTTATCTATAGTAATCTGTTCGTAACACCTCCCTTAGCCAAAGCTATGTCGATCGTGACACATCCTTCGATTCCAATGGCATGGAAGTGACATTTGTCATCATAGATGCTGTGGTACACCGCTTCTTCATCTAGTTGAAACAATACAGGCTTTGCAACTTCATCAAACGTAAAAAATTAGACATCACCAAGATGATATGGCTTCCCCTCATCATATGTATTGGCAACGTCATCCCCAGGGCCTTTGTGGTGAGAAGGCCCTCATGGGAATCTGTATGGCCGAAAAATGGTGTTGGTGGTGTTGTGGGGCGTTGGTAATTTGTGCGAAGGCTTTGTAGTCGACTGGGCAAGAGCCCAAATCAGTCCAGCGCTTGCGTAGATCCCACGGACGAAAGGGGCGAAGGAAAACTTCTTCGTGCCCACTTTGTGCTTTATCGCTTCCCGCATGGCTGCCTCGATTCGTTGACTTATCCCCTTCACATAAAACAACATCGTATATCCGGCCGACGCCAGTTTTACGGCGAGGTTTTCCAAGACACCTTGGTTGTTCTCAAGCCATATGTTCACGAGGGCACGTTGATAGCGATCATAAGGCATGAATGGCATTCCGTCATCGGCCGTATCACATTCCAGATAGATCTGCGAAGAAGGAAAGAGAAAAATAAAGAGAGAAACAATTTATTTAGAACACTTGGAGTACACAGTGAAAATGGATAGTTACTAAAATTTAATGCAAACTGGCTGAAGGAATGATACGTTTGTCGAGTTTGCTATCAGCTTATTGAACGAATAGGCTGCTAGTTCATTGCTTTCCTCTCTAAATTTGATCGTGGCTCTTATTCTGCGTATGTGTGTAGCTTCTTTCTGTCGTATATGTCAATCTACGACAGGGAGAAGCCACACATACATGCAAAATGCACTAGACCCCCGATCTCAATTCTATAGAGGAAAAGAACTGCTTTTCTAACTTTTTTTATATAACGTACCTGCTTCGTCCAAGAGGAATTGTCAGCAGGCCACCCTGGTGATTCCTCTTGGATGAAACAAGCTGTAGTGGCATTCGATAGACCCGGATTCATGGAAAACAGGTATAAATATTAATGTGACTGACCCGACTGACTTGACCTTTTGAGATAAAAACTACGTATATGTGTTATATATGTGCTATATATTTTATACCTGTTTACTCTCGAACACCATCTGATGTACTGCCCGCAGCGACTCCACACCTATATGCCTTGTCAAAACGGCATGCATTTTCGTACTACTTTCTGCCTGCTTGTAGAAACGAACCGCACATGCCATTCCTGGGGCATTGTTGCCTAAGGTGCGTACCAAGATCTTGCGTTTTGGCTCCGCGAGGGTAAGCAAACGTTGATGACTTTTGTCGGTCATGAAAATGTCGCAGGAGTCTCCGTCGTAAAAGTGAACGCAATTCTTGTCCACTTTTACCATTCGTCCATCTGGTGGCCTGGGCTCGTTCGCCTTCCAGCACTTCGGGAGAGGATCGTCAAGCCTCCTGTTGTGCAGGTATGGCGACATGTATTTCGTTGTGGATCCCATCACGGCTGTTGGCGCGGCTGTCGAAAGCGTGGGTGGGGTCATGGGGGCGGCCGACTGTGCAAAGTGGTACGCATTCTCGAGCGAGGATGAACTCAACCCGGCGAACTTTGACTTGATGTTAATAGCTTTCATCTTGTTGTCCACACAATGGAGCGGGCGATCCTTGAACGTCAGAGGGGGTGTTTGCTAGTCGTCGCTGTTCGCCTCGTCCTCTTCGAGTTCATCGTAAAATTTGGGCAAAATACAGAATATTTAGCACATTGCTATTATATAGACACACGGTGAACATTCTCAACATTCTCGGCATGTTACTGCTCTGTAAACCTAGTCGATGAAGCGGCAGAAAACATTTGTTTCTATTTCTAGTCAATTTTTGTTTCGTTCCTAATTAATTTTGTTTTGTTCCCAATTAATTTTTGTTGTTCCGGGGTGAGGGTACTATTTTTTTAAAATGTTATTCGAAGCGCTTGTGTTTGAATTTTACATGATATGACATGACATGAAAATTTTTATTTGCAGAATCTTATTGTCTACATACATGACTTATATCATATGTCATTCACTATTTTTTAATATTCTATTTTGTTTTAGCCTTTGAACAGACGCTACTCTTTACGAAGCGCGCAAGAGAACGTCTGTGAGTTGGATGAAGATTTCTTGTTCTGGTCACATGGATTTTCCACGGATTTGTTGATTGTGACTGTACAGTGCTTTATTTGAGTAACATATGACAAATGAAGACATTTCATTTGTAAATTGATAATTGGCATGCGTCTAAAATAAAAACACGAAAGTCTTAAATTCAGAGATTTCCTTGGGAAATTTCTTCAAGAATCAATATTTCCTTCAAGTATATATTTTTGTGTTTTTATTTTAAACGAACCCTGAGTATCAATTAACCAATGAAATATCTTCATTTGTCATATATTATTAAAAAAAAGCACTGTCCAAATAGAGGCCTTTTCACAAATCTGTGGAAAATCCACGTGACCGGAAAAAGGAATCCAACTTACAGACGTTCTCTTGCGCGCTTTATCGAGAGTAACGTCTGTTCACAGGCTATTTTGTTTCTGAGATTTTAACATTTTAAGACTTGAAATGATGACATAATTTGTAAGTTCAACATAATTGCAAGCATCCAATAAACTATGCTGCTGAAGTAACTTTGAATGACAATAATAGACAAAAAGTTTCATTTACTGCTACTCATTGCAACGAAAAATCGCTTTACGATTTAAGTTTCTTTGTTTTGCAAACAAAACGACATCATCAGCTGTTATAATGAAATGTAAACGAAGCAAGCTAAGTAATTAAAATGATTTTCTTCATTGCTTTAGCAGGTAATCGCATCCAGAAAATAAACTGTTTCGTGTCATGTTATGCATAATAACATACTGAACATACAAATTTGGGAAATTGATAATTTTGTAACAATCAAAAGTGATGATTTTGGAGGCTTCTTCGATTTTGAAAACATATTAAACAATAAAATGATGGTGTTTAACACCGCGACATGTATTTCTAGTTCCTACTTAATGTACTCACGCATTGTAGGCCTTGTCGAATTGGACGCATGCAGTGCAATCGTCGCACCCACAATCCTCCAGCGATTTTACGTAGAGATCGTACTGCATGGCCTCGAGGTTGTCTTGCAGCTGGTTGAGCGTTGCACGGATCCTTCGTTCCTCGTTGCCATCGTCGTCCACGTGTCTCTCGTGCACAGCACGCACCATGCACCCAATTGTATGGCGTGAGCAGTTGGCAACGCTGTTGGATAACCCAGCAAGCCGAAGCATCTGCGTGACTATCACGGACAACTCACCGTCTTCAGCCATACGTACTGATTCGGCCTGAATCTCCTGCATGGGGGCGACAAGTCGCTCGTCCAGGCGTTCCCACTCGTTCATTTCCTGGAAGAACAGGAACAGCTCTTTGTGTGTTGGTGGGTGGTCTTTTTCACCTTCGCCCAAATGCTGGATGGCCATATCGCGTTTCGTTCCACTTGCCATGATCGTTTGCAGCCTCAACACTCTGCGGGGCTCGGGCGCTGGTTGCTTTGGTGGATTGACGTTTGGCTGGTTTGGTGGGCGTTGCTGGGGAGAAGGGGCGGTAGTTGTTGTTGGTTTCGCTCGCTTCGCCAGCACAATTTGTTTCTCCACCCTGTTTCGTTTTTGCCTGCCGGTGACATCCTCCTTGCATGGCAGACCAGGCCTTCCCTTACCAAGTCTATGTCGTGGGGTGTCGTCTTCCTGGCTGCTCCTGTTGACCGGTTCTCTCGCACGCCTTGGCACAGGAAATTTGGGGTGCTTCGGCAAGGGTCCTCATCATGCTGCGTCTTTCGAATATTGCTGCAAATAACGAAAACAATTTGCATTGGGTAAGGGAATACATGGGGAAAAAATGAAACAAAAACTTGTTATTTTTAATCACCTAAGGAAGCAAGTGCTAAAGCTATTGTGTGTTCAACAAAATTGAATGTATATGTAAAATTCCGCCTTGAGAGCTTATTAAACGTGTTTGAAAGTACATGAAATCCTCTTCTAATGTCGTGGTAGCCCTCAATTTTAGTTGACCAAAATTTCAGGTAAGTCGATGACCATTGTGATAATTTGGGTTGATGATATAATAATTGCAACAAATTGCACAGTTACGTTAACAAATATGAAAGGTAATCTAGGTAAGAGATTTCAAATGAAAGATATGGGAAAATTATCATGGTTTTTAGGCATAGAATTTATATGTGAAGAGGCAGTAATTAAGATGAACCAAACAAAATACATTTAAAGACTATTGTTGAAATTCAGTATGGAAAATTGCAAACCCAGATCCACTCCATGTGAGATTAACTCACATAAGGTAAGTGAGGAAAATTCAGTGCCAACTGATAACAGATTGTACAGAGAGATCATAGGCTTCATTTAAGGCAGTAAATGTACGTACTAATTGAGTTTTCTTCCTGTTTGTGCCCCCAGGTGGTCGCACGCAAAGGTTAATAAGCGTTGAATTAAGGTCATACGCAGTACAAACATGATGTGCATGTGATTCAACTCACTTTACACTATGTTTAGGGGGACCGCTGTACACTAGGTTTATCATCAATAAACATCAAGTATATAAATTGGCTCGGTAAATATAGCTTGACATACTTTTTACGCTGCTTTCACAGAGAAAACATCACTGAGTATTTGATTCTATTAGTATGAATTTTATAGCTGAGAAAATTAGCGAAGCACAAACCGTGGCTGAGCTCACAGCTTTGGAAAGTCTACATACTTTAAATGAATTTGAGCAGGGCTTAATATTCGAGAGAAAAGTAGAAATTATTAGCCGTTTGCTAGAATGGGGAGCGGAAAATGAACGAGTTGGGCTTACTGCAAATCTTTCGGATTCTTGGACGCTGGAGCCTTTGCTGCAGAACAAGCGATTAGGACTCGCCTCGGACTTTATGAATTCTTGGACATGTGAACAACAAGAGAATTTTATGACAGATTGGCAAGATGATGAACCTTTATTACAGAAAAGATCCATCGATGAAGTGAATGGCGGTGTAGGAACATCTGAACAGGTTAGCGATAACTTTTTTACCGTATCGAATGTTAAGCAAGTAAAAGTGAAAAAGTTCAACGCAATTGGTATGGATTATACAGTTCAATTTATGGACATGTTTGAGCATTTGGAACTTTCTCAATACCACAACTGTCTTCATGAAATATTTGAAAGTTTATTCAATACTGTCACACAAGATATTCCTATGCAAGATCAAGTTCGTTTTGTGTTGCAATCGCCTCAAACTAGAAACCCCCATTTCTCTTCCTTTCTTGTCTCGTCAGCATCTTACAACTGAGCGGGTTTTAGCTGAAATTCAGCGTGTGATTCAATGTAATCATGAATTTCGTTTGAATGATAGTGTCAATGTCAATTTAATCCATGTTGAAATGCCCAGCGGCAGTACCGGCATGAAGCGAAGTGAAATTAACTTGGAAAAGCATTTGATTAACAAAAGATCAATTGTTCGCATTCAAAACAAGGACAACATTTGTTTAGCTAGGGCGTTAGCCAAAAGTGAAAACGATAGTCGATATAGAATGATAATCAGTCATCGTAAACCACTTCAAGCATGTTTGGCTCGAGATTTGCATAAAAAAGCCAGGGTCGAGATAGGTTCTTGCAGTTTAGATGAAGTCAAACTTTTTCAAACGTATTTATCGGATTATCAAATCAATATCATTTCAAAAGAACATCAAAATTCTATAATTTTTTCCGGTCCCAAAAACAACAAAATGATTTATTTATTTTTGCATGACAATCACTATGATGTGATTACGAGTATGCCGGCCTTTTTTGCCAGAAAACGGTATTGTCATACCTGTAGAAAGGGGTATGATAAAATGACCGACCATTTGTGTGCTGACGCATATAAATCATGTCGTTTTCCAAATTGTCCAATTGTTTCGTGGCTGCCTTGTGCGGATTGTATGCATGTTTTTAAAAGTCAAGAATGTTTCGATCGACATAAACAACTGTAGGCAGTGCAAAATCTATTTGTGGTTCTTTAGTAAAATGTCCTGATTGTCATACTGTTGTAAAACGGGGTAGATTGAGGAAACATCACTGCGGCTTGACTTGTTGCTCGACATGTAAGGAATACGTTCACCTGGAGAATCATCAGTGTTACATGCAACCTGAGAAAGAAACACGGCTGTCAGCGAGGACACTGACCTTCTCGACCCCAAGGCACATGAACGGAGATGCCCCTCAAAGTGGGTACAACGTTTTTCGACTTTGAGTGTCGCCAAGAAAATGGAAATCATGAACCCAACTTGTGCGTAGTGCAAAACGAAGCCGGAGACGAGTGGGTATTCGAAGGAGATAATACAAGGAATGAATTTTGTGAATGGCTTTTTACAAAAGAACATGCAAACTGTATCGTGTTGGCTCACAACTTTCAAGGTTACGACAGGTACTTTATTCTGCAGTACTTACACAAGAATGGCATAATTCCCAAAGTCATTATGCGTGGTGCCAAGATCTTAATGTTAAATGTTCCAATGTTCAAGATTAAGTTTGTCGACTCTCCCAGTTTCATACCGATGAGACTCGCTGATTTTCCAAAAACGTTTGGTTTGAACCAGTGAACTCTAAGAGAACTGGAATGATAACTTGGCCGCCATCTTTGAAGTCACTCATGATGGCCGCCATGTAGGGAGTGGAAAATACGCCGCCTAAAAGATGTCTGTTTTCGACCACTAAATAGCTGTATTTTCAACAAGGAAAAAAGCTAAAAACTTTCAACAATACCTGAAATTTAATACAAAACATGTTTCCAGAACGTAGAGCAGTTATAAAGTTCTTTTTTCAGGAGTCAAAGTGCAAAGTTTTTTTCGGTACATTCAAACTTCTGTAATATTTTGAATATCAAGCTGTTACCCAGGAATTTTTTGCTGTTAGTGGATGTAAAATACTTAGAACTATCCAGGAAACCAGGTTTGAATCTTTAAAGTTGAAGACATTAATAGATAAAAAGTGCTTTTTCTTGCTGATTTTCGCTCAAAAACAACCTTTTGACTGAATTTCCCGCTCCTCGAAACTCTCCCCAGTACTTTTGAAAGTTAATTTATTGCTCGCTGAGCTTGCGAGAAGTGCCATCTTGGCTTCGGGCAAGTATGGGCATGTTTACCTGCAGTTAGCGTTCCAGTGTTATTACAGTTCACTGGTTTGAACGAACTATTTTCCCCACCCTATTCAACACAACCGAGAATCAAAACTATGTTGGACCCCTACCACCTACTTCATTTTACCATCCTGATGGAGTGAGTCCTGATGAGAAAGTTTTTGGAATGGTATAATGGTTTGAAAGAGAACAATTATGTGTTCGACTTCCAACAAGAGATTTTGACTTACTGTCGATCTGATGTGGATATATTACGTCATTGCTGTCTGGAATTTCGTGAGTTATTTCGTGATGTTACAGACATTGATCTGTTCGAGAAATGTCTCTCACAATTGCATCGGCTTGTAATCTTGTTTTCCGAAAGAACTTCCTGAAAGAAAACACCATGGCAATCATTCCCCCCTCACGGTTATCGTCCCAAAGACAAGCAACCCCTTCTGGCTTTCATATAAGGCTGAAAAGGAAGATGTCTACATACAACATGCTCGTAATGCAGGAGAAAAGCGTGTTGGCAACTATTTACTGGACGGTTATGATGAAGAAACCAACACAGCCTACAAGATCAATGGGTGCTTCTGGCACGGTAAGTTAACTCAAATAAACTCTTCCTTCAAATAAACACCGTGGAGTAAAATTATATCATTGTTTTTACAGGATGTTTGAAATGCTATGCTCGGGACATGGTAAATCCAGTCAATGGCAAGATGATACAAGATCCTTCTTCATCAAGCCACAGTGGAGAAGACCAGTTACCTGAAGGATCATGGTTTCAGTGTGATAGAAGTCTGGGAATGTGACATCAAGAAAGAACTCGAACAAGATGAAGATATGAGGAGTTACTCTTGGAATCCATGTTGTAAATAAAATATAATAATATAAATATAGTGCATGTTGTTTAAACAAGACCTGATTCAATAAACAATACAATAGTTTGCAACTTGCAATCTGAGACAACATAGAATAATGGCCGTGCCCATTTGAAATCTCATCTATGGCTTTTGATTGGCATTTATAAGAAGTCTTTAAACATGTGTGCTAAAGTTGATGCACACTGTGTTTATTAATATTTATAAGGTAGAAAATTTTATCATAAGCTTTTCACCTTGAAAATAAAAATAAAATAAAATATTTTTTAAAATACCACCCTCAACTTATTTTATGACCCTCGACTTTTTACCCTCAACCTCGACATTGGACCCTTGACACTCGACCTCCCACCCTTGACATTCAACAAAAACCTAAACTATTTTAAAATAGTCGCTTTTAACCAACCTTGCTTCATCTTGATTTAGCAGTTGAATGGCATTTCCACTTTTGCCTACAAACTCCCCCCTGGATACCTCTCTCTGTTGACCACTTCTTTGACGGTCTCCACACTCATATTGGTGATATTCATATCTAATGTCTGCACTTTGTCAATTTTAAGTGGCCGCTGCTCTCTACAGGGATCTTTGGTTACTCGTGGAACTTGCCATTCGGAAAAGACTTTGAAAGCCTACTTTGTAGACCTTTGTGTAGACTTAGGGACACTATTCCAATATCCATTTTTTTCTTGTTCAGATTTCGGCGGCCTGAAGCACTGCTTTGGAGGCATGTTGTTATTCACTAGTTTGCCCCAATTGAAGGACTTGATTGATTTGACACCAACAAAAATTATTGATGTTACACATTGTAATTAGTTATGCAATGTAATTCACACACTAACACTCACATATAAAACACACATACTCATGTTTTAAATGGTCCTTATATACAATATAAATTAAAGTTGAAGATTTAAATTTGATAGATGGAAATTTCAATGGAATTTACAATCGAAATTTTCACCCACAAAATCCTTTAACACTAGTTCACAAATTTTGTCCTGACATTTACTATAAATTAAATCACGGTTAATAGAAGGATTGGTTAGGCTAGCTGGACCACATGACAAATATGTTATTGTTCTCATTTTATTCATGTCACGTAACGAGATAGTGGGACGCTTTGCAGGAGTGTAATAGAAAATATATTGTTGACATGGTTTTTGTGATGTATAAATCTACGTATTTTCGACTCTACGCCTGATTTGATCACGGATTTGATTTATACTTCGATGTTCGGAATGATCTGATCGTATTCACAAGTTTTAAAGGTATTCTTGATTGGTTTTGAGATATAACCACGCTATGCTAAGTGTATATTTTATGTGTCATATTCCATTCTCAAGTGTTCGAGGATTTTCATACTTAAAGACGATACTTTTGGAGTTTGTCCGGGAAAAACTGCTCTGCTTTTGGTCGTGAGAGTTGCGGTAGACACAATTGCTAAGGCCGCTATTATTAAAGAGATCTGACGTCGGTGCGATCGTATTGATGCGAAACAAACAAATGAAGTAAATTTGAACTAATATTACAAACAAACGTATCAGCCCAAATCATGTGCCTATGCAGCATACTTTGGTATTTGCTATGCCAACAAGTCAACTCCAGACAATTTTACTGGTCATTGATAGTGATTTCTAGTTGATGTGTAGTGGACTATTAAAAGTAACATTTGGGATAGTCAAACTGATATCTGTTATTGAATTTTCAAATTAGTATCCTCAAAAAACCATTATATTGAAATTTAAGACTGTTGAAGAATATTTATTGTCTATCACTATTACATAATCTACCCATCAACTGGCAATGCATGCAGATGCACCTACTTTCAAATTGGTATTTTACTCTGAAACAATACAATTTTACTCATCAGTGGAAGAACTGCCAGTTAATGGGTTATTAACAACTATTGATATCCACCCTGGGATGGTTGTTCATTCAATTTGGGATTTGCAGGGTGAAGTTCTTCAATTGAGAGAGGACTGACTAGTGGTGAAATTGGCATGAAAAATCATATGGCCTATTGGCTCTGGGTTGAACACTTGTAGATATACTTATAGATACTGAATTTAAATACACTGGAAATAACAAATTGTATACACTGACTTGAAATGCACAAGTTTAAATTTCAAAGAATATTCTAAACCATTTTCACGTATGCTTTGTTCTAATTTTTATCAGATTAGCCCATACTTTGGTTCCATGCTAACACCACCCAATTTTACTTATCATTGACAAAATGTCAGTGTCGCTTGTTAATCCACTAGTGGGTGAGCTGGCAATGTGTCCAGCAAATGCACCCTACATTATATTTTTTTGAAAGAGAAGCAATTGTAAGTTAATGGTTAATTCATTGCGGCCATGCAGGGATGCCTGCCAAAACCTGCCTTCCAGGTTCAACATGTCTTAGGGGCTGATGACATGGGGAGTTTTCAGCCCGGGCTGAATTTCAACCCAGTTAACCGAGCTGAAATAGTTTCACGATTACATGACAAAGTTCAGCTTGGAGTGAGTTAGAATTTCAATTCAAACCAGGGTGAAATCTCAGCCCGGGCTGAAATGATGAAGTCTCAAAATGGAGGTATTCTGCTTCTTTGGAGAATTTAAGATGTTGTTCATGTCTATTATTTGATTTCTGCGAGAGTGTGGTTGCATTTAAAAGTAGAACAGATAGAAATAAAGCCACTTAAATGCTATTTTTTCAACCTGGGTTGAATTTTCCTGTCGATTACATGGCGATTTTCAGCCCGGTCAACCGGGTTGAAATTTTCAGCCGGGTAGCTTCAACCGGGCTGAAACTTCAGCACAAGCTGAAATTTCTGTCATGCAATCATTTGCTGTGTTTTAATAGCATTTTATCCTCAGGCTTCTTAATTTCAGCCCGGGAAACCAGGATGAAGCTCAGCCATGCTGAAACTCTCCATGTAATCAGCCCCTTAACAAAGTTTGAATTGTTTGGTTTGATAAAGCCTGTATGATGGCTATATCATGATAGCAGTGTAATTGCGAAAACCCAACCATCTAACCATAGAGGCATTTGTAAATAATATATTAGTTTTGGGAGTCATAAATTTGCCAACCCATTGTTATATTTTCAAACCTATGGTTCTATTGCAGAAGATAAATGAATTGTATATTTACAAATTTTATAAAATATATAATATCACTTTCTTTTCACTACTGTTTTACAGTAAGGCAAAAGCTTTACCACGTTTTGCATCATTTTCATACTCGATAATATAATCTTTGGCACGGTTGAATTCACCTGACTTTTTTATATCGCATCCCACATTGTTTCCAACGATTGAAATGTACTTTTCATAGTATAGCTTCTACAATGTCAATCAACTAATGAAGTAAATGTACCTTTATATATAAACACATAGATACTTCGTACAATAGATTCCCCATGACCATGTGTTGTAAACTGTTTTGAATTACTACATATATGCCTTGTAATTTGGCACTAAGGCCGCAAATTTGTCGCACACATACTGTAGCACGGAAAAGACTTCTCACTGTCGATAGGGCAGCAGAAAAATCAGTATTTAATACAACTGTTTTTCTTCTGGTAATAGTAACAGGGGCTTCAATGCTATAAAAATCTTCATCTATAAATGTACGTATTCGCTCTCTTGTTCATCTTGTAAACGATACCGTCATTTCCGATCATTGAAAATTCTCCTTGCTTTTATTATTACTGTTTTCAAATGTCTGCATCGATTAAGAAATCACTCCTCTTTCGATATCACTATCCATCGTTATTATAATGCTCCGAAAGATACAAAAATGCTTTTATTATCAGTATTAACCCAACACTTTCAATATAATTTCCTACAAATGTCAACACAAGCATCCCCCTATCTCGGCACGTGACATATTTTTCCTTTGTGCTCAACAAAGTTTGCCGCCCCCTTTGAAGTTTGCCGGCTAGCCTAACCATCCTCCTATTAACCGTGATTAAATATTACAATCAGGGTACTGGCAAAGAAAGCAGTAATGAACAACAGCTGTGACCACCTATTTGGACATAATAGTTCTCCACACTGTAAATAATCCAGTAAGAATTTCCTGAGGCACTGGTCTTCAATTGTGCAATCACCTCTCGTGTCTGGCCCAATGTGTCGATTCTTTGCAATGTCTACTGTGTAATAAAGAATTACCTTCCTTAAATAGGTTGAAGAATTATCTGCCTTAAATTGTCTGCCCTATATCAACGCCCATACCAATGGCTACTGTAGCAAAAATAACATGAGATGGTTTAACATTCGGATGTCAATTGAGCTAAAATCATTTCCTTCATTGTCAAGGTTCGTGTTGAATGATATTACACAAATAATCGTCTCTCTAGACTGGTATCAGAACCAATTAGGTAGTATTGTGCCAAGAATGTTCTCAAATAACTTGTAGGCAAACCCACACCATCTTAGTGGCAAATAAATAATTGTCGAGGTTACTTTGCACCATAACTTCCAGTAATTTACTTGCAATTTGCCTCAGTATAGTTTCACAAGATAAAATTTCATCACATTCTCTTAGTATCTTACTGTAAAAAATATTTCTTAGGTCTGGATTACCAACTATTTCAACAGCGTTATTGATCATGTTTTGCTCGCTACTCTGATTTAAATAAATGATTAAAAAATCCAGTCGAATTGTAATGAAGACCCAAGGTTTCGACACTCCAGTCTAGTGTCTTCATCAGGGGTGATCTAAAATTGCAATTGTGGCTTCTTAAATACCCAAGGGATGACGTCACCTGCCAATGAGATGCACATATTCCTCTGGAAAATAGGCACCGTCATCCCTATTCAAAGCATGATTACTCATATTTATATGCCACGCTTCTAGGCAAAGTCTTTGCCCATAGCGATTGTTTGTGGTAATTACTCTAGCGTTTTCCCACGCAATCTCTTGTTTGGTGTAACATACATGTTCGGCTAAAGCTGATTTTCCCTTGTCTAAAGTTGAAACAGCCTTTTGATGTTCTTTTAGCCGTGTACCAAACTGGCGTTTAGACTGACCCAAATACTCTTTCGCGCAGTCACCGCATGGTATAGAATATACATATTAGAATGTTAGGATACAACAGCTTGTATCCTGTTTGAACAGGAGCTTTTGGCTTTGCGAAAATACGTTATGCAATAGTTCCATAACATTCAAGGTGTCACAGAACCAATCAAGAGAATCTTAAGTAATTGTAATATTAAGGTTGCCTTAAAACCCTATTTGACTTTAGGCCATATTTTTGCCAAGCCAAAAGATCCTGTTAAAACAAATCAGAAAACTCATGCTGTATATTCTATACCATGCAGTGACTGCGAGAAAGAGTATTTGGGTCAGTCTAAATGCCCGTTTGGTACACGGCTAAAAGAACATCAAAAGGCTGTTTCAACTTTAGACAAGGGAAAATCAGCTTTAGCCGAACATGTATGTTACACCAAAAACGAGATTGCGTGGGAAAACGCTAAAGTAATTATCACAAACAATCGCTATGGTCAAAGACTTTGCCTGGAAGCGTGGCATACAAATATGAGTAATCATGCTTTGAATAGGGATGACGGTGCCTACTTGCCAGAGGAATATGTGCATCCCATTGGCAGGTGATGTCATCCCTTGGGTATTTAAGAAGCCACGATTGCAATTTTAGATCACCCCTGATGAAGACACTAGACTGGAGTGTCGAAATGTTGAGTCTTGATTACAATTCAACTGGGCTTTGTAATCATTTATTTAAACCAGAGTAGCGAGAGCAAAACATGATTGATATACCTGGTTGCAGTGAACAAACAAACTTTAAAGCATTATTGATATTAAGAGAATGTTTAATCGTTACTCTGCCTACGCTGTTACCTGTTGCAGTAAGAGCGATCATGACAGTATTTGGGAAATATGCACTCAACATTCCAAGCTGAGAATAGTCGTTTCTGAATTCATTGCCCCTAAAAATCAGATTTTAAAGAGATTATATATTTGTATGTATAAGGCCAGGTAAAAAATATGAGTATTTTCTCGTCCGAATTTTGAAAAAGAATGCATGCACTTTTTTTTGTTAAACCTTCAAATATTGCTCTTAAAGTTTACCAAAACGTAAATGTATAACAAAATAGACAAACAGCTACTAATGCAATATGGCACCAAAATAACAATATGGCATGAACAGCGGTGCAAAGTACCAAACAGCAAGTGAACCAAGAGTCCCAAACTTACTGTTTAGAGAAAGACCAAAACTTACTGTTTAGACAAAGACCAAAGTTATTTACACTAGGTCTGGCACATCAAATATTTATGTTTGTTTGTTTGTCTGTCCATCCACGAAAATTCCTCGTGGCTACTTGACGGGGGCGAATACTTTCACAAAATGTTTGTTCGCCACCGCAGCAATTCAAGTTTCAACTAAATATATTGTATTTATTGTATTTTATGATTCAAGATAAAAACAATAAATATTTACGTATTTTTATTATCGATCACAAAAATACAATAAATATAATATATCTAGTTTATAGGTCGCTGTTAGAGAACAAACGTTTCGTGAAAATATTTGCCCCATCAAAAGTGGCCACAAGGAATTTTCGCAAAGATTGTGCATGACTTTCAAATGATTTGTTTTTATTCCTATCCTGAATTTGTTATGGGAGGTTTTTTCCTTTCAAGTGCAACTAATGTTTTCAAATTTTTCGATTGGGACAATTCTACAATGAAGTACTCTTGGATACTGAAATGTAAATACATATGAAGACGAAGAAGTGCCATTTATCAGGCAGAGAATCGGTGAGCCATTAACTCATTCTCATCCAGTCGAAAAGTAGCAATTTTGAGTGGTGTTGTTTTAAATGCATATATCTTTCAAACTATACATAGTATGGAAACAGAAATTGCATCGTTCGAAAGAGGAGGTCTTCCACTTTCCAATGATACCAATTTCAATTTCATCTCGAGCTTGGTTAACGATTTACTCACATAAATTTGCATAAATTATGATATAAAAAATGTTGCAATTATGCATAAATGTATTTACCGGTTCAAATATGTCAAAAATGTTATGAATGTAACTGAAAGACCCGGTTGTGATCTACATGTACCAGAAGTTTCATGCATGTAGCATAAATGGAAGTATTTTTATTGAATTTTTTAATAAACTATGTAGTGGAGTAAAATTTACATTTTGTGCTGGCATCATCATAATTAGTAGTTATAAAAAAGTAATGTTTTCCAAGGCAGTAATGTTTGCTAAAGCAGTAATGTTTGCCAAAGCACATAATTGGATTATGTGGTGAAAAAATTTCCTTTATATTGTACTACAAAAGACCTAAGACTGTAACCAAACTGATATCAGATCACCACGTCATACCCAAATCTGTTGCGATGAATATCTGGACTTCATCCTGTATAAATTTCAAAGTCGCAATATAACCATTAGGATTGTCTGCAGCAACCCACAGATTTATCCCCCACATAGTAGGTCATCTAGCTTTCATGAACTGCCTAATCCCCAACCTATTTCTTGATTTGACAGACGTGTGTTTGTCTGCAACAACAATATTCTGTGACGGCTGGTACAGTTGTTGATGCAGTTTATTGCTGTAGTCTTTAGTACAGGATCTACCATATTCACAAACACCATAAGTGCTTTGTACCTAACCCGAGAAATTATTTCTATTGCCCACAAACCATGATATAAGGTAAAACACTCCAATAATTTTCAATCTCACTGTCACCCTTTAGCAATCCTGCATATACTGAAAGGCAATCAACCTCTCAAGGTTGGCGGACTGCAAGACCCTTCTTTATTAGTATCTGGGGATAACGTTTGAGTTATTTGTATGTGGGCATATGTATTGGTATGGCCAGGAAACTACCTCCTGTTCAAAGCATTCCCTTAGTAAAAGAGAGTCGAATGAACTCAAGCTCACAGTTCATTGAGCCAAATGAACTCAAGCTCACAGTTGATCGAAATGGATCCTGGACATGTCAGTGAGGAGCAAAATCTGGAAGAATATTCCTAGCGTCAGGATCATCATATCCGTCATGTACTATGGGGCCTAGTGGGGATGCTAGACAGGGAGCTTTCGAAACCTTGGTCCTAATGGCTGGGCTTCCCTCTACCTCTACTCATCCCCCTACCTTCACTTTGGGTTGGGGAGTGGGGTTCTCATGACTCATCAGAACTCTACTTCCCTGAGGCTATGAAACAGGAACAGCACATAGGAACAGGATCATACAATATATTCATTAGTGCAAATAAAAACTTTTTTATAGATATGGTGCCACTTAAAATTATAATAAGAGCCAAACTAGTAAAGTATGAATACTTGGCTATTATGTATGTATTACAAACAACCAAACATGTGCTCAAGGCTCATTTTACTTCGCCTAGGAATCAGAGATTTTTATGCCTAAAACACCATAAATTTCCATCGACAATATAAATAAATACCATTTATATTTGTCAGTTTCAGTATGAAACGATTATTTCAACACAAAAAAGCGAGATGAGGACAACTTGGTCGTACTAGTGAAGCTATACTAAATATATCATATATCATATATCATGGCGGACGAACAACAATCAACCAAGCGCTCTGCGCAAAATTCAAAAACTATCGACCTGTGTACACCTATTAAACCAGTCAAATAAAAAATTAAGAAAACCAACGCATCAGAGAAAAGAACTGAGGAAAAAGAAGGAGAAAAAGACGTAGATATGAGGCAAATTCATCAAATGTTCACTACAATGATGACGAAATTGGAGAAGCTCGATGCAATTGAAGCAGACATGAAGGAAATGAAACATTCCTTAGAATTTGCGCACGCTGAAATTGCCGATTTAAAAAAAGAAAACGATACCAGCAAAGCAAACCAAGCAAAGGAAAAAATTGAAAAGCTTGAGCAAGACAACACCACGTTGCGCAACAAAATAGTAGACCTTCAAGCAAGATCAATGCGCGACAATTTACTATTTTTTAACATCCCAGAACGTGACAAAGAAAACACAACTGAAATGATTCATGAGTTGTTAGAAACGAAGATGGAAATACATGACGCGCGTAATAAAGTAAAGATCGATCGGTCCCATCGGATTGGGAGAAAACGAGAAAGAAACCAAAAACCGCGTCCGATCGTGGTCAAGTTTAACTATCATCAAGACCGAGAGTACGTGCAGTTAAACACGAAGAAACTTAAAGGGACAAAGATCGGAGTATCAGAACAGTTCCCAGAAGAAATCGAAAGCATAAGAAAAACATTGTATCCGGAACTAAAGAAAGCCAGAGCAGAAGGTAAAAGGGCCAGAATAGTAAGAGACAAATTGATCATTGAAGGGCATAATAATGGGTCTTGACAATGTGTAACCTGAGTCCTCCATATATTTCACTAACTAAACACAGTTCATACTTTATAGTTAATTTCTTAATTCAAATATTGCACTATAAACCTTTCCAATGACCACACTTAACAATGAGCGCAAGAAGAAATGTTCGTCTTGCTTCAAAAAACACAAAAATCAATTGAATGTCTCACATGTATGAATCGGTTTCATGCTGTGTCTGCATGCACAAAATCATTCAACTCCAACATAGGTAACAATACGATTGACTTGTGCCAAAATTGCTTAGCTGAATCTTTACCCTTCCAAACACTCAATGATTTAGAATTTGAATTTACGGTTTTAAAAGGAATTAATGTGAGGAAAGATGAAATGGATAGACTAAGGCATTTGAAATTCAACCCTTTCGATACGAGTAATAATATTGCGTTATCGGAAAACAATGCAAATCTCGATAAATCGTCAAAAATAAACTGTGAATATTATCTACCAACTGATTTTAAAGAACAAATAAATGAAACAAACCAAAATAATAATTTTTCAATGATACACTTAAATATTAGAAGCATGATTAACAAATTTGACTCTTTTAAAGAATTAATATATTCATTAAATAAACCGTTTCAAATAATAGGTTTAACTGAAACGTGGCTAAATGAAACTAATGAAGATTGCTTTAAATTCCAAAATTATGATTTTGTAAATGTAAACAGGTCAACTAAAAGTGGAGGAGGAGTAGGTATTTATATCGCAAATTAACTAAACTATAAAATACGCACTGATCTAAACACAAGTATTGAGAATGTAATTGAATCTGTCTTTGTCGAAATTATAACAACTGTAGGTAAAAACATCATAATAGGTGTAATATATAGGCCACCAAATAATCATTTTGACTCATTCGAAACTGAGATGAATCAAATATTAGGGCAAATAGACAAAGAAAACAAATTATGCTATCTAATGGGGGATTTTAATATTGATCTATTGAAATCAGAATCTTGTGATTATACCATCAGATTTCTTGAACAACTATTCACCTCATCATATGTCCCACTTGTGCTCAGGCCAACAAGAATCACTCAGCATACCGCTACATTAATTGACAATATTTTCACCAATGATATAGAAATTATAGAATCAAGCTCAAATGGTTTAATTTTTAGCGATATCTCGGATCATTTGCCGATATTTCATATACGAAACTCGAAAACGTATCATGAAAAAATTCAAAAAAATGAATTTACCTGTAAAAGGATTGATGCCAATATTCAATGATGCCAATATTCAATCGTTTACAAACACAATCAAAAATGTATCATGGGATAATGTACTTTCTAAAAACAACATGGCAGAGTACTACAATGAATTCTTTAACTTACTTTCAATAGCCTATGAAAAAAACTTTCCATTAAGAAGAAAAGTAGTAAAACGAAATATTGACAAAACCCGAAGCCCATGGATGACAAAATGTATTGCAAAATCAGTTAAGCAAAAGAACAAGTTATATAAAAAATACCTTCAATGTCCTACAGAAAAAAAGGAAAAAATATACAAACAATATAAAAATAAACTAAATCATATAATAAGAGCGGCAAAAAAGAAACATTACGAAGAACAGTTAATAAAATATAAACATGATACAAAGGTACTATGGAAAACATTAAATGAAATTATGAATCGAAATAAAACAAGTAGTATGTTACCAAAGGAATTTATTGGAAATAGTCCTGGAGAAAAAATTACCGATCCAAAATCAATAGCAAATAGATTCAATGATTATTTTGTAAATATTGGCCCAGGACTTGCAAAAAAACTTTCGAATAGCACAACAAATTTTGATAAATATCTCACTAATAGCTGTAAAGGAAGCTTCTTTATTAATCCAATAACTAAAGATGAATTAGAAAATGAGATAAATAATTTGAATTCCAAAAAAAGCCCTGGATATGATGGTATAAGCTCTCAGGTAATCAAAGCGATTGCTACAAAAATTTCTGAACCACTTTCACACATATTTAACTTAACTTTTCTTTCTGGAACTATTCCTGATGATCTAAAAATAGCTCTAGTTACCCCTATTTTCAAAGCAAACGAAAACAATGAATTTAAGAATTATCGGCGCATATCTGTTCTCACTTGTTTTTTTTCTTAAAGCTTATGTATAAATGCAGAAGTCCCGCTATTTTATGAAGGTGGAGGTTGTTAATATTCAAACCTTTCTGATGAAGCTTTCTGCGCAAGTATTCACGACGGCGACAGTGGTAGGTTGTTATCCATACCATATTTGATATTGCTTTTGTGATTTGTATACAATGGCTTCAACAAGCATGATGAACCTTATGTAAAGCCATAGCGGAATTTCATTTCATTTGGTGCTTTTAGCATTATATATGTGGTGCTTTTATCTATATACGAGGTGCTCTCTACATTATACGCAGTGCTTCGAGTACGAGCATTATACGCGATGATTTTGACATTATATATTGGCTACACGCAACATTATATGAGGTGCTTTTAACATTATATATGCGGTGCTTGAGACATTTCATAATATACACGGTGCTTGAGACATACGAGGTGCTTTTAGCATTATACACGGTGCTTGAGACATTATACGCGGTACCTTAAGCATTGACTGTACGCAGTGGTTTTACCATTATACGCAGTGCTGTAACTACTTGCTGTGATTTCAACATCATACGCGGTGGTTGAGACATTATATGAAGTGCAGTGATTAATTATTCGTTGTGCCACAGACTCAGTGCAGAGGGCAATATTTTTGCCTAACACAGCACTTCTCTGAGCTCACACAGATCTTCTCTGAGGCATCTGAGCCAGATGGCATTTTTTGTATTTTATGAAGGGAAAATACTCCTGTTAGAGGTGTATGGAAACTTTATTTAGTGACATCCTTCCATCCTCGAAATCGCAGGAAATGCCATTTCCGAGGTTCTAGATTTCAAATTTTCTGAACCCCCTCTAGGAAGGTCGCACCTTTTTTTAGCCAGCTACGCCACTGTATATTTAGTTGTCTACACAATTATCTAGTTTCTTTCAAAACATAATTTTTAACAAAAAAGAAAAGAAAAAGAAACAAAACAAATTTTTAACAACAAAAAATAGTGATTTAATTCAAATGAACCAGTACGGCATCCTAGTAAACTATATTTCGAAAACATTCCAGGTACCATGATAGTATTGAAACCGAGAATCATGAGGAATTCGTCGACGGACCTGTACAAATGGAAGGGCAGGCAGCGTCACTGCGGTAGAACAGAGGTGATTGCACAAAGCTTGAGAGCGCAATTTTCCGGATTTAGCATTTAAAATTTGCAAAGATGCCACTACTTTTCTGCGGCCACGCCCGATTCAGTCGTCCAAACGTAAGCCTCGCACCGCTAAGCGCTGTGTTGGCTACAACTTTGAAATACTTGGAACCATTCCTCCAAGAGCAAAAGCTACATGACCCAGTCCCAAGTTCCTGGAAAATCCCAAAAGCAATTCCCACCGAACACCACCTGCAACACATACGAAAAGTCTCTCCATGTGTGCAATGGTGATTCCTGTGAGATTACGCTGTCACCAGACGACCAAGACACCGATCTAGCAAACTTGGCCACTTGCAACAACACAATCAGAATTTGTATGCCACATTCAGAAATCCCTGAAACAGAAAATGCAGTGTGCATATACAAACATTCAAACAAAGCCAAGAGTCCACACATCTTTCTACTTTTCTGACAAGGCAAATCGGAATAGAGTGTTTGCAAGCCGCACGACAGATTGGTGTATGAAGCAAACAATGCTTTTCTGCAAGTGAAAAGGGACTTGCGTGGAGGGCTGTCAGTTCCACGAGATCCTTATGGATGTAGGCTCGCGCATGTCATGTTAGAAAACTTGGAAGGCTTAAAAGAAAACCTCATGGAAAAACTCATGTCTCGGAGGTTTACTCTATCATTTTACACCACGGGCATAGATCTCACCATAGACACAGTGATGAGAAAAGCCATCGACAAAAAGAAAGGAATATTCACCCTCCCGGATGAGGCATTTACTTATCCATTTAGACCATGGGATGTGTGATGGTACCGAAGATGGGGTGGTGCCATGGGTACCGAAGATGGAGTGGTGCCAAACAGCGAAACCACTGACAACTTCTACCTACTACCTGAAAGAATTGTCAAGAGAAGGCCAGGCTAAGATCAACGGTAGCGACTGGAGGAACATAGAATGCCGACTGGATGAGAAATGCAATGCACAGTTCAAAACTGTTGGCAACCAGATGGTGATCAAAGTGAGACAGCCATTTGTCCAGACTTATGACCGAGTTGAAGTGTTTGTTAATTATGGTGGCCTGAAAGAATATTGGATTCCTTTGATCCTGGAAAATCAATCAAACAATCTGTTTCCACAGCAAATGACCAAAATTGTTCGCTGGCTTAACAAGACTTGTGAGTGCAGCTGGACAACCACTAAGCAAAGAGATTGGATCGTGTCTGTAATAAAATCACTGTAATTGTCAGAATCAATTGAGTTTAACAAAGTTTCATTCGAATTGTCCAAAATGATTCTTATAAAAATATCTTTATGCAATGTGATTCACCTTATTATTACAAACCACCTAACGCCAATGTAGCCACTGTATAATGCAGGCATTCTTTTTCCACAGCTTTGTTTTCTGGGTATATGTTAATTAATAAATAGCAAAGAATAAAACAATTTGGGATAATTTGGCTAGGAGTAACCTTTCTCCTAGCTGATTTATTGAAATTAATAAAACAATAATTAATAATATATATGTATGAAAATATTAACATTTTGCCCAGAAACAGGTGGAGGCAGATTATCGCCCATCTGATTGTCATGAATTGAGATAGAGTATGTACACATATTTACTCTGAGTTACAAGGTCAAGTTCGTATTAATACTGGATAGTGTTATATATATAGTAAGTGTTAATTAAGCTGAGAGGAGGTCTGGGGAGGAGGTGGGTGAAATTTAATGTTGATCTGTTCACCGGTACACTTGTAGTTGAATGACACTCATGGCCAGAAATGAGGGGCAGTCAGCGAAATGTATTGCGGGCACAAAAATTCGCTAAATTCTGGAGCGTCAGCATAATACAGCCAGACATTAAAGGCATCTCTTCGGAGCTAATTTTATGTCAGTAAAAGACTGTTGCAACTATTTCCTTCTTTACAATCTTTTAATTGATTGAACACAATAGTTTCTAACCCCAAAACTACAAAAGTACATCAAAATATAGGAAATTTCACAGGATTTAAATTTGACTTTGGTCCAATTTTTCCCCTATTTTGGAGCCCCCTGTCCTTTATAAACAACAATCAGTGGTTGCACGTACAAATGTTTTCAAAATGGTTGACAAGAACCCATGACGACACTTTTAAAACGTTCGTAGTTTTTGGATTTCGCAGTGCTTTCTCCAAAACACTTGGTATTAGCTTACAGTTCTCATGAAATACACGCTATTTTCAATGCGTTTGGCGCAGCACGTACAAGCTAAGATGAATCTAAATCAATACAAAAGGAGAGATCAACTGTCGTACAAGAAATGTAGACGTAAACAATTTGTCTTGGAGCAACACTACACTGGCCTCAACTTAGTAAACAATGGGGATTTTACTGTACTTAATAGGAGTCTACATTGCAAGATTATACTGTAAAATTGAGTTACTCGGGCGGAATAATGGCAAATCGTGACACATCAACAGTTTCGGGGAATACTCGTCAAGGTATTTTGTACATTTCTACATGTAAACACTTCGAAAATTATATTTTTTTTCAGCATGTGCATCACATTTGTATGATTATAGTATTAATTCTTAGCATTTCCGCCATCTTGAATTCGCAAAATTGGTCAGTTGTGCGCATAGTTAGCAGCCATACTGTCCCAAATTTCTGGCCATGACTTGCTTTGCGTAGCTGTCCATTTTATAATGATATCAACCACACCTCTCACCCCCTTGCAAGCTTTTCACGCTCTATTTTAAGTATGGTGCCAAGCTAATAATATTAAGAGTTTTAATCTTTGTAATGGCTTAACACCTACTTCACCATGTCTAGCTCTTGCTTATACAAGCACCTTAAATAAGGCGATTTTACTCTGATAAATCACATTACATAAATTCCTTATTTTCTGCGCAAATATTTTGTTTTATGCAATGTGATTCACCTTATTATTACAAACCACCTACCGCCAATGTAGCCACTGAATAATGCAGGCATTCTTTTTCTGCAGCTTTGTTTTCTGGGTATAGCACCCAGGTCAATTGCACAATACGCACTACATAAGAGAATATACGACATCGCCCTTGCTGATGACATATCGGTGCAATGCGAGTTATGCAACCAAAGGGCGCTGACAGATTGCATGATTGCCCTTGCTAATCACGCTCAAAATCATGCATGGGAAATTTCAGATATATGAGAGGTTAAGATACCCCGGTTCCGGTTTACGGGTACGAGTATCGCCATTTTGTTTACCAATTTTTGCTGATGTCAGCATTTTTACCCGTAAACCATACGTTTTCCCCACGGTAAACCATGGTCTACACGTAAACGACAAACAGGTAAATTTCAGACAAGAAAGTGAAGGCCAGTGAAGAATTGGTCGAGGAATGGAAAAGCGTGTAAGTATTTTCATCACACGTAAAATTTATTTAAGGAATAGCATACTACAAGATAGCTATTTTGAATGACTTTGTGTGGTTTGTAAATATTGTATTTTAATATAGTATAAGTAATGAACGCCATAGTTCAACCATAGACGGTTCGTAGTCGCAAAAAGTATATCTAATTCTTCAATCTTTATTCCTGTTTTACTGAACCAGAGAACTTAAAACAAGTTACCAAAAAAAACCTAGTAAATAAGTAGTGAAATATTAAAGATGGTAGCTACCAGTATTGCATTGAAATGGCTAAGATAAACATTTATATGTGAACAAATAAACAACATGAGCCTGCTTTTTAAATTGCTTTGAAGACCATGTTCAGATGGCATGCTCACCATGATGTGGACCTGCTGCGAGAAGTGGTAGCAGTTCGGCCGAAGTCTGCAAATGACTGGAACACCATAGCGGCCAATTTGCAGAATGCTTGGGGCGAGGAAGAAACACAAAGAAGTCCTATCAAGGGACGTTCTTGTAAGGAGCATTTTGATGTCCTGTTAGCACACCACAAAGCTGGAAATGCCTCAGCATTAAAGAAGTAAGTATTACTATTTTGTATAATAATTATTGTTAGGGCCATTCCATTTAATGTACACACACCCCTATGGAGGAGGTCAATAAAATTTGAACCCCTAAGAAAAAAAAATAAAAGTGCCGACACAACCCCCCCCCTGTCACCCCAGAAATTAAGAACTTTTGCCTTACCCCTCGGAAAAAACGAAACGATCAAAGGATGTTGATGCACACAACCCCTCAGAAACGGTTTTTTCAAGCCCCCTCAGAAAATCTTGTCCATAGGCTGGAGGGGGTGGGGGTATATTAAATGGCATGGCCCTTATTAATTTTATGTATCTTATGGATTAAGGGAAGTAATAGCTACAAGGGTAAAAAACATTGCATTCAAGAAGCCCTTTACCAGTTACTCATGAATTGATCTAGAATGAGAAGGGTAGGGAGTCTTTTCCATTCATATCTTGTTTTCATATCACAGGTCTGGCACTGAGGAGCAATATGGGGAATTGCAGCAACTCCTGGATGATGCATCTGCATATATCACTGACATGCAGAATAAAAAGACAGCACCTAAGGCGAGAAAACAGTTACAAGAAGAACTGGATAGAAATAATGCCAAACAGTTTAGAGATGATGCAATGGTTGCTACGAGAGAAAGTAAGTTAATAGTAGGGATTAATGCAGGGGATAGGGGTGGTGGTGCAACTGAACAAACACTAGTATTAGAATACCATAATCTGTTCTTACTTTTTCCAGGCCCTTTGGAGGGGAGGAGGTTATTAGAGAGGAGGGCTTAATAATTTTGTCTAAAAGGGGAGAGAACTTATTATAGTTGGAGGGGGAGGGGTCGAGTGAGGGTGCTTATGGAGAGATTACCAGGTGTACAGTGTATTTTAGTCTTGTAGAATTTAGCATATTTACATTTCATATGAAATGCCAGATCAAGAGGGACTAATAAAGGACCTTTATGAATGGTGTGATGACAGTGATGAGCACTTGTCTTACAATTAATACTAAATTTTGTACAGAAAATTCAAGGGCCAGAGATTCAGATGAAGAAACTACAGGGCCATATAGGTTAGCAATTAGTCCATTAGGGCAAACAACACTCTAAAGAGAATTTTATGTCAAGTAAAAAAAAATTGAAGTTATCTATTAAGTGCAAAACTAGACAGAGTAAAACAATAAAGTAGGGTGCAGTTGAGTGCATTATGACTTAATGGTAAAGGAACAGTTCTTCTTCCTTAGAATTGTAAACACACCTGAAATTTTAGACCATGTATGAACAGAATTCTCTGATTGTGAACAGGTCTGCAGCATGGTCACAAGGTTCCATCAATGAACCCCCAACAATTTTGTAGCGGACCTCCAACAGCATGGATGACATCAGAAAACAGCTGTGGATCAATCCAGTTCTGGTTAAGCTCTTCAAGCAAGTGTCGGAAGCGATTGTATATATCGTCGAGTATCTATACAAAAACATACATTATGGGTCATAATTAATTAAAGTTGAGGTTGCTGCAATCACAGACCTAACCCAACCCCTGAGAATACAAAACCTGGAGATGGAATGATGGATATAGAAATGGGAGAAATGGCTGGCTGGACTATAGTGTAAGGCAAAATGATTTCTATTTGACAATGGTATGTAATTAATGCAATCACATGATCCTAAAATGAAACCCAACAATATTTAACACTTATTCGCCAAAGGCTCAGTGATTATTGGGGAATATTCACCAAGACAAAGTCAAGGTGAATATTCCCGATAATCACCAAGCCTGAGGTGAATAATTGTTTTAGTATTTTTACACAAGTCTTTTGCATTTTTGGGGAGACTGGATTTATTTTATTTTCCATTATTTATTATTTAATAACCAGTCACTTCCACAAAACGGCTAGCCGCCATTTTCCAAATTTCACTTTTGTTATATTCACATGTAGGTGAATATAACAGCTTAATACGTAAAATTTGACCAATCAACTTGTAGGATTTGTTATATTCACTTGTGCAAAAATACTAATCATATATATCAGCCATTTCTAAATTTAACCAATGAATTTCAGTAACACTACTAAATATATTATATAATCAGGTCTGTATGAATGTACCTCATGAGCAGTCATACTCAATTCAGGCTCAGGTCTTCCAAATAGTTGGCAAAGATCCAACAGTCGATTTGGATATGTCAGTCGTCTGAGCAGCAATAGTAATGCCTCCATACCACCAGCTACAGTACCACTTGGGCATCGGTACAATTCCGGAATAAATAAATGTGCCAAAAGGTAAATAGCTTCCTTCGTATATCTGTCAGTGAAACAATAATATTTTATGACCATTTTATGACCAATATCATTTGACCATATTTCATGAGCGCGGGGACTCATGAGGGGAGATTTGTGTGTAAATTGAAATAAAAATATGAAAAGTGCGAAGCCAATCACTAATGGTTTTTATACGTTTTGATTTGGCGGTCGGCTCCAAGACAAGAGACACAGGCTGACCCGTTTCAGAAGGCCGAATATTAATCTCGTAACGGGTTGTCGGGTCGGGATTGCTAAGTAAACTACCGAAATCCACAAACTCATTCCAAATTTTTACTTTTATTTTTTCGGGAACCCGAACATCCAGCGGCAGGCTGGTAGAATGAAAAGGTTGTTGAGAAAACAATTCCGTAGAGTTAGGAACAGTAAAAGGAAGTGGCTGACCTGACAGACTGGAATGTGTTGACGCAATGGCATCGTTGACCAGGTTTTCGGCATGTGTCAAAGAAGAAGCACCCCCTCATGAGGAAAGATTGGCGTCGCTGCAGTGGTCGGTAGAAGCGTCAACAGCTGTTGGGTAACTGCAGTTGCCACTGATGAAACCAAGGTCGAGATCAGCTCAGCAGACAAGGATGGTTGGCTTACTATCGGTGCGGGCGACACAATTGTTGTAGCCGCAGGCGATGTTGATGGTAATGAATCAGCACCCTGAGAAATAGCAGAACGAGACATTCCACGTGCAGTCTGCGAGCGTAGAGCAGGGCGAGCTGCAACTGCAACCGCCTTGCACAGAGTTCTGTGGTCTGGTGGGAGTGGCAACACGCTTTGAGCGACGGATGGAAGGCATTCTAGAAAATAAAACTTGAAAAGGCAGAAATATATTCATCATGAATTATCAAAAACAGCAAAACTTAGTGTGATGTAGAATAAAAGCATACTATGAAATTGTGAAGTTTCCAAATAGTATGAATTAGAAAGCAGCAACGCATATATAGCAAAACTGTCATAAAAACTCTTAAAATTATTGAAATATTCCTATTAAAACGTCAGCAGGAATGAGCATGGCAGATCGTAATTGATCGCCACACCACTCATCCTATGGCCAACAAATGACTCACAATTCACGTGAGAACAAAAACAAAACCACACATGTGGCTATTAACCTAAGAGTAGAATACGCATGAAATAGCAATGCTAATACCAAAATATAAGGCCTAGAATACATGCGTTCAGAAGAATACGCAAGAAAAGACAACGCTGAGTTTAAAGCTATCCTAGGATAAATTTGTACACTTTTAGACGTACAAAAAGATGAATAGTTTTATTTTGAACACAAATATATTGCCCCCATTATGGAGGGGAATTAACAACAAATGAAAATTGAATGCATCATGTAACGTGGTGAGTAGGACTACAACATGCTAATAATATTAAGAGTTTTAATCTTTGTAACAGCTTAACACCTCCTTCGCCATGTCTAGTTCTTGCTTATACAAGCACCTTAGATAAGGCGATTTTACTCTGATAAATCACATTACATAAATTCCTTATTTTCTTCGCAAATATTTTGTTTTATAAGATATTTAATATACCAGCAACTAATTTTTTGGAGAAAATATTGAACATGATACTGTATATCCAGTCAGCATCTTTTTTTATTGAAACATAATTTTATACCTAAAATGTCTTGTTGTTGACATCAGAATTTCAGAATTGACATGCATGTGCCGTTCATATTAATGCGTATTCTGTGTTTGCTAGTTTGCTCTGTAAAAAAGATGGCCAAATTTTTATCCGATTACAATTTTAGGGTTGGTCAATAGAATACAAACAACTTCTACTCTGTAATTTGTTATCCCAGCCTTGTCATGTGACTGTTTTTCTACACAGCCCTGCTAATTAACAGGCAATTCCTTTAAAGGTGGTTGATATTGTGAGGAAATAATAGTATGCGAAATTTATGTAAATTTAGGTTTTCTACACAGACCTGCTAATTAACAGGCAATTCCTTTAAAGGTGGTTGATATTGTGAGGAAATAATAGTATGTGAAATTTATGTAAATTTAGGTTTATTAATTAACATCTGATAGTATGCAAATGTGGGAATTTAGGAGTATAAATAGCAGACGTGAGTCACTGAAAGAAAAAGGTTAGATGAGTCGCCAGCAATGAAAAGGAAAAACACGTACACAGACAACTACAGAAATCAAGAAAGTCTGGACGGCGGCGGGTGCACAAATTTGTTAGTGAGAATCGTATCCAGCAAGGGACAACCATTGAAGACATTATAGTCTGTTTGAAGCTGGGAGTATAACAATTGCGGAGACCAGTTTATCCTCAAGGTGTCTGTTGTCAAAGAACCGCATGGTGGAGCAAGTTGATGAGCAATTGAGTAGGCAAATTGCATTGGGCCAAAAATTGAGGTTGTGAACAGTGGTAACTACATCAAGGGCTAGCCGAAGACAGGAAGATGAAGCAGTGGTATGAACTCAGTCTGACTTTTTTTAGTAAAAATCATTAGCTTAGGTAGGATTGTCTTTTAAAATGTTAAAAGTAATAAAAAAATATTTTGTATTGTTTATTCGGTCTGTGATTCTTAGTAGCACTCACGTTGACGATTTTAACTTGTCACAGATATTACGTACTAACTTGTAAGATTATGTCTAGTAGAACTTTAAACAATCAAACTTGCTTGTGTTGCAACATACTAGTGAACTTTAATGAAATATGTTGTTACTGGATAGAAAACTTGTAAAAACAAAAGGTTATATAAATGTTCAGTCTGTTTTGGACTTTTGTATTTTTGTTGGTATAACATGCCTGAAACAATGACAACACTTGTCTGCATGGATAATTATGTGTTCTTTGCAAAATGCATGTGGTTAAACCATAGAAATATTAGACCTAGAATGCGTGCTTGGTCATCAGTGGCATGGTGGCTGGGGGGCCATGCCTCCCAGCGATGGTTTCAAGAGGGGCGCCGAAATGCCAGTGGGGCGCTAAAATTGCCAAGAAGTGCCTCCGGATTATTATGATCTATTTTAGTATGATCTATTACTCCCTATTATGATATAATATGATATATTATTATGATATGATATATTATTATTATTATTAACTCCGGATTAGTATGATCTATTAAAGTTGATATATTTTGTGATTATTAAAATTGTGACGTTGAGACCCAACCGCATCAGAACATTCCAGACTTTTGATATTTGATATGTTACATTAGACTGCTAGTGCTTTGTCACGCTTGTGTAAGCTTCACGCTTGCATAAGCTTGAGCTATAAATAGCATAACAAGTAATTTCTGATTATAAACATTATATAACAATCTAAAATACGAAGACTTTAGACGAAACACTATATAAGGGCGGCTCGCTGAAATCGAAACATGTGTTAAACTTATTATATTCAAGACTCAAGCAGAACGTTTTATATGTACCAATGAGACAATCGTCTGGCCCTTTTCTCACCAAGGAGGCAAGGATTGCTGGACTGTTGCTTCAGTGCTTAGCTGTGTGACTGTGTCTTAGACAGATAAATTGGTTAGTATACTTAACGTACATTCTCTGTATATTGTTTAAATAAATACATTTAGAAAACTAAATTTCCTCAATAAGCCTTTTGTTATGGTGTTTGTAACAAAACAAGATGAGTTATAATATATGAATGAAGTTATTTTATAATTAATATCAGGCTATCAGCCATCAGGAGTCATGATATCAGACATCTCTGTTAAAACAAAAAAATTAAATTGCCTTTTCCCTTTAAATTAAACTTTTTTGAGCACATTTTACTTTTGAATACTACTAGTAAAAATCTTGATATTGTGTGCCGTATATTAATTGCAACCTGCATGATATTATTGCAATAATATGAAATATATTATTCAATCCACGACTAACAGTTAGAATGGAAACCACCAACAAAAGCCAAAAACGAAAAAAATCGGGCACAGAGAACAAAAAGGCAAGGAAAGCAAGGAGGGAAGAAAACGAAAAACTTGGATCGTTCATGAAAAGCTATTTCACAAAATCAAGCAAATCATCATATGGAGACGATGCTTCCAGTAATGACCAAGATGCTCTAAATGCTGCAGGAGACAAAAAGACTAAGGAAAGCAAAGATGTAAAATATGGTATAGAAAATGCAAGCCCAGACAAGCCATGTGATGTGGAGGACAAAAACGACATAGAAGATGAGATCGAAGATCCTGTAAATCTTCCAGAGTTTGATAGCAGACGAAGAGTTAGTGAAGGGAAAGTTCGGGACGACGAGATGGACGTGCAAGAATCTGCAGTGCCTGGTGTAGCAACTGCATGATTCATCTGCCGAATTTAATGACAGCAGATTTTGGGATAGAATTACTGACTTTGAAACCGGACATCCACTTTGAATACATCAATACCGAATCAGGGCGAAGAAGACGCAATCATCAGTGCATGCTCCGGAGAAATCCGCCAGGTTTTGTAAATGATGGAGGGAATGAAACCAATGATCCCACGTTACTTGTTGGCATGAAGTTCGGAATAGAGGATAAAGAAAAGCTTTGTAAAAATGAACCATGTCAGCCACCCGAATCCGTTCTATCTGAGAGAAAAAATAAAATTGGAGAACGTAACCGGTACTGCTCGCAGGCGGTATTCTTTCACGAAGATCAAACTAGGTGCAAATGGCTTTCATACTCGCTAAGTAAGGATCGTCTATTCTGCCTCCCATGTCTCCTATTTTCAGATGAATGTTTAAGAGGCGAAAACACATGTCACAACCAAGGAAATGCTTTTACGAATGCTGGGTACTTGAACTGGAAGAAACAGTACAGTAATATCACAAAGCACGAAAAGTCCGAAAGTCATATAAATGCCAAGATTGCTCAAGTTGTCTTTTTGCAAGGACAATCAATCTATTCATGCTTGAAGCAACAAGAAAAGACAGAAATTTTGCGTCGGAAGAGAGAAGTCGTGGCAAACTGCAGTATTATGGAACGCGTTGTCGACACTGTTGCACATTTGGGAAAGCAGGGACTTGCTTTCAGAGGGCATCGAGAGTCGCTAATTGATGACCCAGAAGCAAATAAAGGAACTTTTCTAGAGTCGCTGAATTACCTGTCAACCTACGATATAACAACTGCGAATCATCTTGAAAAGGTTAGAAATCAACAAGCTATGTCGAGAAGAAAGGGCAGGAAAAAAGGTGCCAAAAAGGACGGGGTTTGAAACTAACTTTCCTCAGCAACGATACGCAGAATAATGTGATCAACATTATTGGAAGAGAAATTGGTAATTGCAGAGCATGGGCATTAATAGACGACACCACACCGATGTCAGTCACCACAAGTTGCTTAGTATTTGTGCAAGGATTGTTAATCGTAATGGCAAATGCTCCGATCACCTTTTATCTTGCAAAAGAGCTTCTGGTACAAATGGAACTATAGAATCAAATCTCAGAAACACTTGTCTCGAAAGGTGTGTCGTTTGGTGAACTCGTAGCACAAACATACGACGGCGCTTCGAATATGAGCGGATGCTATAACAGCTTGCAAGCGATCATCAAGGAGAAAGTTGGAAAGCATTGTCCACTGCTATGCACATACGCTTAATCTTGTTTTGTCCGACTCTGCAAGTGTTGATGTTCAAGTAATAAGCCTCTTCAATGACCTCGAAGCCTTGTACGTTCTCTTTAGCAAGACTCAAAGAATCCATGATTTGTTTGAAGCTGTCCAACTGGAAGAGAACCTGAAAGTCCTTTCCCTAAAGAGACTTAATACTGTTCGTTGGCATTCACACGAGTTGTGTCTAAAGGTCCTTCTCTCTCGTTATGACTGCATTTTAAGTGTCCTGGAAACCGTTGCGTTGGACAGTTTAATTGATGGAAACCCACGAAAAATGAGCATTGGCTTATTGAAGCAGATTCAAACAAAGCAGTGTCTGGCTACCACATACCTCTTTCGAAAAATATTTGCATCCACTGGTCCGCTAAGCTGATATTTACAACGCGTAAAGAACCAGAGCGAATTATCAGATACATCGAGCAAAAACACGACTCCCCCAGCGTGACTTGGGAACAACCAAGAATCAGACGTCGAAGACGAATGGATCATGAAAATGCTGAAGACGAACCTGCTGAAACACCAGAAGATCACTGGAAACATAACACATTTTACGTTTCTGTTGAAGAATCGGTTTGAGAAAAACCAACCCTTGCTCCAAGCTTTTTCGTTGTTTGCTCCAAGCCGTTTCCCACAACTTGTGAAGAATTTCAAAACCGCACAAAATCTCCAAGCATGCCTTAACACTTTTTGTGAAACATACAATATAGATGCGTTTAGATGTGCTGACGAATTGTTCAATTGTGCTCGTTCTTTTGAGAAATTCGACTGTTCATCTGTCTGCCAGCAAGAAGATGAAGATGACAACGATGGCTATGATGATGATGATGATGATGAGGACGACGACTAAATCTCAAGCACGTCAGATAATGAGCAGGGCGGCAGGAAAGCTGAAAAACAAACGAAGAAAAAAGTTCCATCTTTCTCTGAAACTCTTTCACTCCTGTGTAACCCAGATTATAGTTTGGTTGATGTGTATCCAACTCTCTGTCGCGTTTATGCTATTGCTGTGGCCATCCCAGTTAGTTTGTCGACTGCAGAGCATTCGTTTTCTGCACTCAAGAGTGTGAAGACTCGCATTCGCTCATCCATGGTTCAGGAGAGACTTGAATCATTGCTTTCAATGTCAATCGAGCATAAAATTTTGCTCAAATGCGACAAAGAACATCTCATTAACTTGTACGCAGGGCTTTCTCCTGAACTGTCAAAAGCTCTAGTTTGACTTGCATTTGGTTCATTGGTTGTCTTTTAAAACTGTACATGTGATATTAATATGCTCAATTTGCATATACTATAGCTTATAGTTTATACGTTATTGACATTTGACCTGGAACAATATTATGTTCTCTCATTATCGGCATATGATAGTAAAAATTGTGTTATAGTATAATTATATACGTTGATATGTTACAACAAAACCTGACTAACGTTGTTTTAGATTGGTACTTGGTGATAAACTGTTTCACAAAATGTGTTCTCAGAATGCTGGAAATGCTACTTCACAGACCTAGAGTTAAAAGCAATTTTCTGGAAAAGCATGCCCCCAGACTCTTCTAGGTCCCTCGTGCCTACGACACTTGATATGTACACTTGCACTAATTTTCGGGAGAGGGGGGGGGGGGTGCAATAATCGAGATAACTGTTAGGGGTGCCAAATTTAACACTGGCCCCCCTTGAAATTTTCGAGCCACCACGCCACTGTTGGTCATGTGACCGGTGTCGAATTGAAAAACAAAAATGCCCTTATAAATTGGCCATGTTGGATTTGTCCGAGGAGCAGACAAGTTTAATTTGCCCGATTTGCCCTTATAAATTGGCCATTTTGAATAGTTAATGTGGCGTCACCTGTTTAACTGAGAAAGGATAGGAGCACACATTCTAGGTTTAATATTTCTACGAGTTAAACCCAGTTTACTCTACCAACGTTTCTGTGTGTGACTACAGTACAAATTTGCCTAGGCAAATTCTAAGTTTTGAAGGATTGTAGTGAAAGTGTTTAACTCTGATTGAATTCCCAAAAACATTTCTAACAAATCTTTCAAAACTTTATAGAATTTACCTATGCATTGATCACAGATCCTAAGGATTTCATGCAATCAGGCCTAGGCGGCAAGTGCATGATCAAAACTGGACATTATTCAAGCGTACATTGAGCTTGCAGGCTTAAATAAAGTCATTCTTCTAAAGCATGCAAAGTCACTTACTGGACTAAACATCAACACATTTCTCGAGTGCACACTTGCTTACTCTGCATTTTCTGGGATATAAACAGTATATTTTACTCACCATTTTTCAAGCTCTATACAAATTCTGAAAATTACAACTGCCAGCTGCATGTGGCCATGTCAATACATAACTTCCAAACTCAATACATAACTGAATTGATAAATTTATGTGTTCCATTTATCTCACTGTATATAAACTGGACTGTCCATCACTTTGAGTATAGCCTTGTTTTCGTTTGCGTGCTACCATTACTGGATTTTATTCTTGTTGGTATAACATGCCTGAAACAATGACAACACTTGTCCGCATGGATAATTTGTTCTTTGCCAAATGCATGCAGTTAAACCCAGTTTATTCTGTCAAAGTAGTTTCTGTGTTGTGATTACAAATTCTAAGTTTTGAAGGATTTGTAGTGAAAGTGTTTAACTGTGATTCAATTTTCCAAAAACATTTCTTACAAATCTTTCAAAACTTTAAAAGAAATTACTTATGCATTGGTGCACAAAAGCAGGTATTGGGTGCGCAGAGTTCTTTTGTGCACATGTGACACGGTTTCCAGTATGGGTCACTTCATTTAAGCATACACTGAGTTTGTTGGTCATCCAGGTTAAATAAATCATTCAAGTGTATACAGAGTTACTGGGATGTAAACAAATTTATTTTTGCTCACCATTTTTCAAGATTTATACGAACTCTGAAGATTTAAAGTTAACAACTCTCAGCTGCTTGCGGCGGCCATGTTTGATTTCTTAGCCTGTGGGCAGGAGAGCCTTGGCTATTGATTTTTTAACTCAATATATAACTGAATTGATAGATGTATGCATTCGATTGGTCTCATTTTATATAACTGGACTGTCCATCGCATGGTATGGTACAGGTATATGTACCCCAAAAACCACACAAAAAGCACATCGTTATAATTCCTTTGAAATATACTCAATTTATAAATGGTTTTGTATTCAAGTAAACTTGCCTAAAGTGAGTTCGTCCTGACAGTTCTCATCTATTGCCTGTAATTATTGTAAAAGAACAAAACCCGCATGTGCAAAAAACGCATGTAACTTTGTTTGAAATATGATGTTATAACACTATTCAAGGTTTTTCGACTGAACAAACCTCCAAAAAATTTATAACAGTCATACTTTGCAAAACTTAGCCTTAAAGTTTCAGATTATACAAGTTACCAATGGGTCCATTTTTTAATTTTCAGGTAACAGATTTTGGTAAATAGTGCGAAAAAATTGGGGTACATATACCTGTATATGGTATGGAATGATATGGTATATGATATGGCTGGTGTTGTGGTGACCCTGCCCTTGTGGCAAAGCAATTTGGCAAATTGTAGCTTTAATGCAGTCAGCAAAAATTGGATGGTTCGGATTTAGTACAAAATGAGCGGCTGTGTGGTATCGGATACGACACAGACGCAACTCACATGAGTCCATCAGACATCTCACAAGTTCATTGGAAAAGTGATTTTAAAAATAAACGTTATCTAAGCTGAGAAAATCTAAGCTAAAGTAAAGTTTATGCAAACCAACACGATTCTGTATCACATGTACAAACTCCTTCACGCCATGAATTTGCTTGTGTTTTTCATGAATAATAAGTTTTTTAGTTTGAATTAAAATGTGAATTTGAAAAAAGAACTTCATACTTCAAAATGTTTGGTTGGCCAATATCCTAGACTTGCACGTCAGCCATGTGGGTGGTTTGGCACATAAGATTATTTTATTGAATTCTATTGTGGCCACCAGCCAGCGTGGGCAAGCAACATTGTCTTGTGTATCCCGAGAGATTGGTTGCAAGTCAAGAATACCTTGCTCTATCGACTATAGGCCAATTGGGGATTCAGATAAGAATTCAAAACACAAGCGAGTGTATAGCGGTCATGAAATGTTTAGACATTTTAAACTCGAAATTAACCATTTAAATGGAAATGCACTGTCTCTATTAGTGCCAGACGACCATTACTCATACTTTTTACCAAGTTTATAAATTGTACTGATATTTTGAGCCAGTGTTATCAAGTGTATTGGTATTCTGCATGGCAAACCCCCTTTGACTAGTTGTAAACCTTTCCATACCATAACATAAAACACAGACAGTTCTTGATCAAATACATGTATTTTAACGCAATAGAAACATTGACAGTAGCTAATTAATAGAAGTATGACTACTCTAATAATATTATATGGTCCCCAACATAATTCCATAACAAAACTCAAAAGCCTGATCATAACCGATCCCAACATAACAGATGATTACTTATTCTACAATTTACTCGACTGCATGCTGTCATTGATTGCAAAAATCATATGTGTGCTACCGAATCCCACACTGTAAATTTTAAGAGGTTAAAATTACCCCAATTTAAGGGTGTATTAAATGTTACACAGAATGGTCCGATTTTGGAGGTAAAATTTGAATATGTTATACAGGGGGTAAAAATTACCCACATAATATAGAGTAAAAAAACTACCCCACGATAGGGTGCAAAATAAATTCCACTCCATTTCTAGGGTAAAAAATCACCCTGTATAGAAGGGTAATAGATAGCTTACTATTGTCTTACTCTATATATAGGGTAGAAACTACCCTGTGAACTATACTACAATTTTAAAAACAACCACTTGTTAATTCAACACGTTTATTTCAACAAAATATTGTACTTTTAAAAGTCTACTTTAACAACAATGGCAAATATTCCTTAAAACACCTCTGAACTGAACACTTAACTGTACTGTAGTTCATAACAAGTTCATCTTATAATTATGCAGGAATAGAAGCGGACAGTTCTTTTGTAAATTTTTGAACAGTGATTCTTTTAACTACATCACTTGTTTGCAATCCAGCAATTACTGAATCGACAAAATAAAAAAAATCTTTGTGATCAATGGGGTACGCAATTGAAAATACATAATATAGACAGCATAAAAACACAGCAGTACTGTATCAGAAGAATAAATGCTGACATCAACTAGTTTGTCTCCTTCCACACAAATGAAAAGGCAATCTAATTTCAAAGGATTTTTCCCGACACCAATGAGCATTGGATGCGCAGCGTTTCGAATGTGGTCGCTTATGTCATCATCTTCCTAAAATCATAAAAAATAGCAAGGGTAAAAATAATGAAGTTGATGAAAATGCTACTGACAAGGTTTAACTTACACCCAAAATCTCGATAAGTGCACTTGCAGTCTTCTTCTCATCTTTAGTAGATCCGGAAGTGCAATCATAGCAAATGTGCTCTCCAGATCTACACAACACAATTTTAAAAAATATCACAAAATCTTTCCAAACTAATGCATTCAATCCTTCGAAATACTGTACCATGACCTAATGGCCATATTCCGTATTTTAGTGCATGTATATAGAGACAGGATAAAATATTTTTAAAAGTTACTGCATGCACACCTTTTCAGTACCACTGTGTAGGTATGGCAGACAGATATGATTACTCTGTGCAGATGCAGGTTCTTTAGTTATCTGTTCTTGGAGAAAACGTAACATGTTCTTAATGAAAGGATTTGCTTGATGTAGCTTCTTACAAAATGATACAATTGCAGATTTGTATTTAAAAAATCTGTCCTTCATATCTTTCAATGCATCTTGATCCTTCAAGACATGACAAAATTCTTGACAAATCTATACAAAAATTTAAATTAATATCACTTTTACAGTATTCATACATAACATAAAATTAGCTACAATACATCCGAAAGACTAAGAGTGAACTTGGGCATTATCTCAAATTACTTTAGGGCATGAAGTCGAACTTTTCAACTCTACGGAATTAGTAAAATGCCAGCGCTATATTGTTTACTATTTAAAAAAACTTACCCCACTAACAGTTGCGGTGGAAATTTGTTAACCAACTCTTTGACTGGCACTGGCTTGGTTAATACTTGTGTTCTCCTGTATTCATAAGTAGTAACCATTATATTTTTCACCTTCACTACATCTTGATTGCCAAGTGGGCATGAACATTCTTTTTGCAGCTCTTCGACATGATCAGAAATAATCCTTTCATTCTCTGTTGAGGTTGGGATTTCATTCCAAAAATCCATTCTCCTGGTTGTCTTCACAACCACTTGAGTAATGGTTTCCTTCACAGGCTTATCTGCACCTGCACTTCCAAGTTCCAGAAGTTTTCGCTTTTTCGCATCGTACTTTCTAATATATTTCAATCTATTTTTGATTGCTTTTTCCCATGAACCCTATCAAATCAAAATCCTAATTCATGTTACAATAATCATAGTTATAATTACTCTGGATACTGTACCAAATCAAAATTTCCATACAGTGTATTTCCACATACCCTGTTCCCCCGAATATAAGCATAGTGCCTATAAGCGGATCTTATGTGATTTTAGTAAAAATTGACGGGTTAGAGGCGCATGCGCATATTAAAATTTATTTATAGACACACCTGATTTTTGTCCCCAACTACGCGCATGGGGTCTGGGTATGAAAATTGGCGAATCCGTAAACGTAGATGCAAATTTAATATTTGAATCTGCCTCGTACCCAGGTGTCTCTTTGTAAGAAAAACAGTGCGCATATGACGAGTATTGTAGTGGGGAGTGATGTGCGAAGGACTGATGGGAAGAGTGCACTTGAACTGCGAGACGCCTGGCAGTTCTTGGTCGATTTCTTGCAAGAAAGTCGATTTCTTGCATGTTGTGATATTTCATTGTCATTTACGATTTTTTGCTACTTGTTTTTGTTGAATTGACTAATGTTAATATTCTTCTGTCATCTGGGCGTGAATTCATGCTGTTATTCTTGGTACATATGACATATGCCTTATTTAAAGTCACATGGAAATTGCAATATTAACATGTCAACAACCAAAGCATTGAAGAACTAGACTTGCAGGAACTAGATTTGTAAGCTATAACTATATAAAGGTACAGACTATAAAATTGCACTTTTGTAATAAATATTTCAAACTGTACAGCTGTGATCTTTTATTTACTTGGGCTTTTGTTTACAGTATACATTTAATAGAAATTGCCATCAGCATTGTGATTGACTGATCGAGCCTTCAGCTAAAGAAGTTATTAATACAAAAGCAATTATATGACTTTCTAATCATTTCTCTGTTACTGTTTTATGCTAGGTAACTGACAGCATTCTATTCTTCTCCATGTAATACCGAATGACATATTCGACATATTTGCACGGTTAACTTGCCATGTTATTTACATATATAATTTTTTGCGTATTTTGTCATTTAACATCTACAAATTTATTATTATTTGCCAATGGCGTTCAATTCAACTCTTCATCACAAAGTAAGGTTTTACACACAGAGTATATGAAGATATGGTAACATTTTGTAGTAAGTTCCATGTTTTCCCACCATGACAGTATACAAGAACTGCCAGGTGCTCCCCAGCATGCATCCTTCCCAACAGCCCCTTTGCACGTCGCCTGCCTACCTGAATACTTCATGTATTGTAATTATTTAAAGCGCCTGGGTACGAGGCAGTATTTGAATTTAAACGTAGATGCAAATTTAATATTTTTAAAAAACGTTCCAATTTAACAATGTATAAATGGTAAAAAGTGCAAATTTAGTATTTTAAGTGACTTTTGCTAATTACATTGTTGTGAAGTAAATGACTTTATTTAAACATAAATAGTTGCCTACAAATGTAAGGCTTTAACTAACAAAAACATGGCGGTCAAATAACATAATATAAACAAATGTACCACTCGAGCACAGGCTCCCAATACAGGTAACCCATAGTACTTCATGTAATGTTACAACATTCACCCCATCATTTAAATGTTAAGTCTATCTGGCGGGTGACGCACCCGCTCAGAGCGTCGTAAAGGTGGATGCTCCTCTACCGTAGAAATGGGCGCCGATTCCGCACAAGAACTGCCTTCAGTTGACACTGGGACTGCTTCCGGCGACACTGGAGCTATTTCAGAGGTTGATGTAGGGGTCCATATCGGAAGCTGAGCTGGCTCTGACAGGACAATCTCTTGCTGGCCTCTGGGATCCAGGTGCCTTGTGGCAACGGTAGTCTCCCTTCCATCCGGGTAGCGTATATAAGCATATTGAGGATTCGCTTGAAGTAGCTCTACCTCGTCGACAAGAGGACATGTCTTGCTGGCACGGACATGACGCTTGAGGAAAACGGTGCCAGGTGTGGCTAGCCAAGTGGGTATGGAAGAGCCTGTAGATGATCTTCTTGGAAAACTGAAGAATAGTTTGTGCGGCGTCTCATTAGTTGCTGTGCATAGGAGGGAACAAATAGAATGCAAGACATCCGGGAGAACGAGTTGCCAGTGCTTTGTTGGCAGATTCTTGGATCTCAATGACTTAATGGTTGTTTGCCATACCACACCATTGTACTTCTCAACTTGATCGTTACCTTCTGGGTTATAGCTAGTCGTTCGGCTGGTGGCAATTCCCTTCTCTGCGAAGAAAGCTCGTAACTTGAGAGTCATAAACGCAGCACCACGGTCAGAGTGGACGTACGCTGGCATTCCGAAGAGGGAAAAAAGAGTAACTAGGCATTCGATAACTGTTGTTGTGGAAACATCGGGACATGGGAAAACAAATGGGAACCTAGAGTATACATCAATGACATTCAGAAAGTACTTACTTGTTCTCGTTAATGGTGGGTAGTGGACCTTTGAAATCTATGTTGATTCTTTCAAATGGTCGAGTGGCTTTGATGAGAGGGACCTTTTGAGGCTGGTGGAACTGTGGTTTACATTCACAACATACATGACAGCTGCTTGTGACTTTCTTGATTTCATCCAAAGAATAAGGCAGGTTCTTGGTTCACACAAAATGGTAAAGCCGGGTTACTCCTGGATGACAAAGTGACTCATGAAGCTTGTGGAGAGAATCTTGTGTAGTGGTGGCACATGTGGCTCTGGAAAGAGTGTCAGGTGGAATGTTGTCCTTTCCAGGTCGGTAGATAATGTCGAAGATGTAACATGAGAGCTCGAGTCTCTATCGCATGATCTTATCATTTTTGATCTTCGTTTTGTGGCGTTGGTCAAACATGTACGACACGGATTTCTGATCTGTTACAAGGGTAAAATGCCTTCCAGTTAAGAAGTGTTTCCAGTGTCTTACAGCTTCAATAATAGCTTGTGCTTCCTTTTCTACTGATGCATGTTTGATCTCACTGCTCTGCAGGGTTCGTGAGAAGAAAGCAACAGGTCTTCCCTTCTGGTTAAGAGTGGCTGCTAACGCTACATCGGATGCATCTGTCTCGACCTCAAATGGAATGCTATCATCAATAGCAGCAACAACAGCTTCTTCCACCGTCTTCTTGAGACTCTCAAATGCTTGAACAGCTTGCTGTGACAGTGGGAATTACTTGCAATTAGTAATTGGCTTGATTCGGTCAGAGTACTCGGGGATCCACTGTGAGTAGTAGAACAATCCTAAGGATTTCGAATCATGAGGGATCGGGAGGTCGCGTAAAGGTCGTAGATGCTCAGGATCGGGACGGATGTGTTGCCTTCTTCAATTAAATAACCAAGGAGAGGGAGACATCTCGTTGCGAAAATGCTCTTGTCATCATTGTAACAGACATTCTTGCACTTTGCAGCTTCAAGGAATCTTTCCAGATTTTCATCATGGTCTTCTTGGTCTTTGCCACATATGGTTATGTTGTCAAGGTAGGGGAAAACTCCATTAAGGGTGTGCTGCTCAACCAACTTAACCATTTCCCTTTGGAAACAGGCCACCCCATTGGTGACACCAAAGGGCAACCGGGTGAACTGATAAAGACCATTACGAGCTTCGAAGGCAATATAAGGTTTGTCTTCGTCTTTGAGTGGCAGTGGGTGGTAGGCACTCCAGAGATCAATGGTGCTGAACACCCGATACTTGGCAATTTCATTGACCATTTCACTTATATTAGGCAGTGGGAAAGCATCAAGAAGGGTAAAACGATTAATGGTTTGGGAGTAGTCTATGGCAAGCCTTTTCTTATGGTTCTCATCCTTTGTTACTACGACTTGAGCTCGCCAAGGTGATTGACTGGGTTCTATGATACCTTCTTCGAGAAGCCTTGTTACTTCTTTATCAATAAACTCGGTATCTTCTTGACTATATCGTCTGGAGTTTGTTGCGATTGGGTGGCAGTCTGACGTTAGGTTTGCGAATGGTTCAGGTGGCTCCATGTTAAGTTTGCTGAAACTACATACTGACAAAGGTGGTTTTGATCCTCCATACTGGAAGATAACGCTGTCTGGAAGATAACGCATATGAGTCATCATGCTTTGAATAGGGATGACGGCGCCTATTTGCCAGAAGAATATATGCATCTTCTTGGCAGGTGACATCATCCCTTGGGTATTTAAGAAGCCACGATCGCAGTTTCAGATCACCCCTGATGAAGACACTAGACTGGAGTGTCGAAACGTTGGGTCTTGATTACAATTCGACTGGGCTTTGTAATCATTTATTTAAACCAGAGTAGCGAGCGAAACATGATTGATATACCTGGTTGCAGTGAACGAACAAACTTTATAACGCTCTGATGTTGTGACTGAAAGTCGAGACCCAAAATCAGATCAGCACAAAGTCCTGGTAGAACAGATAAACTGAGATCTTTATAAATTTGTTCTTGATAGACGAGATTGACAATGCAGGTTCCACATATTTTAACTGATGATGCAAGTGTTGCCATAGAGATGGTACTAGATGAGGGCCGGACTGTTAGAGCAGCTTCTTTTACAATACTGGGGTGGATGAAGCTTTCATTACTACCGCTGTCAAAGAGGGCCTTTACCTGCAACCCGTTGATGCAAACAGTGGTTGATGACTTAGAAAGGGATGTTGGTATCGTTGGGACCGTTGCTAGACTTGGTGACCAGGCAGCAGCCGAAATTCTACCTCTGGGATTAGCAGGCCTTGACACACCTTCGCAAAGTGGCCTTTCTTCTGACATTTCAAACAAGTAACATCATGAGCGGGACACTTCGAACGGGGATGTCTGGCATTCCCACAGAAGAAACAGGAATTTCCCACCTCCATTGCAGCTATGGTGCTGGCTTATTTCCGTTGGGCTCTGTGGTATATCAGAATAGGTAGGTACTGCTGCATTTACAGACGGTTGAGTGGCAGTGTAGGTTTCAGAGCTTCGCATAGCCAATTCAAGTGCACAAGCTTGGTCAAATACGGTTTTGAGATCAAGGGTTTTGTTCTCTAACAGTCGCTGGCGGATATGGCTAGACTGCAGTCCGGTAATGAATGCATCTCTAATACTCTCTTCACAGTACTGGGCAGCTGTCATGTTCTTGAAATTGCAATCTTTACTTAAAGTTTTCAAAACTTGAAGGTACTCATCTAGTGTTTCACTCGGTTGTCGACGCCTTGTAGCTAGAATATGTCGGGCAAAAATCTCATTTTTGGGTTTGATAAAAAGAGATTCCAATATCTCCATGGCAGCATCATAGTCTGTACTATCTTCAATGTGTTGGAAGATTGTAGGAGATACAAAGTTGGCTAAAACTGATAGTTTGTTGAGGTTTTCTTGAGGTAGGACTGACAAAAAGTTCACGAAGGTTCACTTCCAGTGAAGCCATTCTTTGGACGCCAATTGCTGCTAGGATCAGTTTCAAATCGTTCAGGTCTTAGAACCTTATCCATTTATTTTGTTAGTTGAATTGTTGTGAAGTAAATGACTTTATTTAAACTTAAATAGTTGCCTACAAATATAAGGCTTTAACTAACAAAAACATGGCGGTCAAATAAAATAATATAAACAAATGTACCACTCGAGTGCGGGCTCCCAATACAGGTAACCCATAGTACTTCATGTAATGTTACAATTTTTATAAAAATTAAAAAGCATTCTCTTTGTGTGTGTTTAATTAAGACACAAATTTTGACGGGATATAGGCATGTGCCTATATTTGGATGTAAGCGCATGCGTCTATATCTGTGGGGCGGGTATATGCGGGGGAATAGAGTAGCTATTGAATTAAGGGGTGTACACGTAGCAGAAACACGCTCCTTGAGGGGTCTATACGAATCAACAAGGAAAAGCTTGCCTTGCCTACATCAAATCTACTTCTACTTCTTTTGGGTAAACTAACTTCTATAATTAGACAAATTTACATGTCAGGCATAATTTCGTAGACCCCCATGAGAAAGTTGAGAAATGAAGTGCAGACTACAGTAACAGGGAACGTCACATGCTACTACAGTGTGTCCCAGATAACGTTACCTTTTCAAATTCAAAACGTCGAAGTTCGAAACGTCGAAGTTTCTCGTCTTTTTCAGGTAGTTGATCCATTCACACAGAAGCTTTCGAAACATCGAAACGTCGAAGTTTCTCGTCTTTTTCAGGTAGTTGATCCATTCACACAGAAGCTTTATTAACCCACTGAGTGGCAACACTCTCCACTTGACAAGTAAAATCATCTGGCATTAGACAGAGTAAAAAATACTCTGGTGTTGGACAAAGTAAAATACTAAAGTAGGGTGCATCGGAGTGCATTGCCACTTAAAGGGTTAATTCATGACATAATCATAGCCTGCGGTGCAGACGCTTCGTATTTCATGATGAAAGGGTTTAAGCGTCTGCGTAATGGAGGGATGAAGCTTGTTCAGTCACGTGGATGTTCCCAAAAAAGTGGGAATCGAATGTGATTGGTTAGTTGTTAATTTATGCAATATAATGTTAATTATCCCAAATTAGCGCGAGCAAGACATAATACATGTAAAACATGGCGTTGGTCGAGGAGGCGAAGTTAGAAGAAGATTGTTTTCAGCATGCTTTACAACAAGTTTGTTATTTTTTTCAAGTGCAAAATCTTTTCGAAGATCAAGTCAACGCTATTAAGGAGAGAATTGGTGAACTACAACGCTATTCAGTTTCTGTTTTACTTGTTTCAAACACTCGCAAACCAGACGACGTCCAACAAAGTTCTTTTAACTTAAACAACTCGCAACAGACGCTCGAATCTAAATCATCCTGCTCGGCCTTAGATAAGCTCGCATTCTGGTTTCCAGGAAAGGAAACAACGTTTTCTTCAAAGGAAACAACGTTTTCTTCAAAGGAAACAACGTTTTCTTTTGTGCCAGTACTGGGTATGGAAAGTCCATCGTGTTCCAATCCATACCTTTATTTACCGATATCCTACTTGATCAAGGTATTGGCACTAGCACCGTGATTGTAGTATGTCCTCTGACTTCATTAATGCTCGACCAAGTTAGCAAAATGAGTGAATCAACACAGCTGCTGTATTTCAAGGACAAGATGAGGCTGTTTTAAATTATATTGAACATGGCATATATTCGCTCGTTTTTACGTTGCCTGAATCCATGTTGGCCTCAAAATGATGGGAAAAAATTCTAAAATCCGAAAGCTTTGTGGAAAATTGTGTTGGTATTGCTGTTGATGAAGCTCACTGCATCAGTCAATGGTAAGATATTTATTTCTTTATATTAATATTGATAAATCTATCTGTAAAGTCAATTTGTATATTTCTAATTTTTATCAATTTGTGTTTGTAGCGGATTGGCAGGAGCAAAGGGCGCTTTCATGTTCCATGTTCACAGATATCCATGTTCGCAGATATCAATCTGATTGTTTGTACTGCCACAGCAACCAAAGCTACCAAGATTTTGGATCTCAAAATGGAAAACACCTTTAGCATTGAAAAAAGTCCAGAGCGACCAAACATTGCTTATGTTACTCAGTATGTTGAAAATGACATGGAACTTAGCGATGTCTTTCATGATGTTATATTGGATGTGAAGGATAAAAAAGACAAATATGCAAAGAATCTTATTTACTGTCAAACAAGAAAGCAAGCTGCCATCATATGGAGAACATTCAAGTTGCACTTGGCAAAGACATGTATGCTGGTGAAACTCTATTACCAAGAGACTGCATTGTGGAAATGTACCATGCTGGAACACCTGAGTCATCAAAGCAACATATTTTAAAATCTTTGTCACTACCAGATGGTCATGTAAGAGTGCTGATTTGCACCATTGCATTTGGTATGGGATTAGATTTGAATTGTGCTCGCAAGGTGATTCATTTTGGGCCATCTCGAACAACTGAATGCTACTTGCAAGAATGTGGACGTGTTGGCAGGGAATGGTGGACAGAGTTTGTGTGTTCTACTCTACAATGGCATTTTGGCATCTCGTTGCTCTGATGACATGAAGGAATTGATCAGCGAACAAAAGTTCCTTCGAAGAGTGATTTTAAAGCACTTCCCTGGTGATCATTAAATTGTTGTGGAAGGATGTCAGTGCTGCAATGTTTGTGCTCAGACTTGCTTGTGCTCTGGTTTAAAGGGTGATTGCTCCATAAATATGTTGCTAGATTTCTCCAGTCATGAGAATTTATATCATTATGATAAGCATAGAACTATTACAAATGAACAGAAAAAAACACTGGAATCAAATCTGTGCCAGTATCAAAATGTTTTGCAAAGAGAAGTCCCAAAGCAAGTGTATCCAAATGTCTTTGTAGAATTTGGTTCTCTTCAGATTGCCCAGGTCATCAAGAATGCAAGTAAACTGTTTTCTATACATGACATTATGAACTGTGTTGAAATTTGGCGAAGTGAGCATGCATGTGGTATTTTAAATATTTTTTCACAAATGTTTGGTGATATTGACATTAAATAACTTAGTATTGATTTGGATAAAATGGATCTAGATGATACTTTAGATATAGATTGGTTGGATATCAGAGATGACTCGTCAGCGGATGTACTGCCATTTCAAGATAGCAGTTTATTACAAGTCAGTGACAAAATGGATGAGCTTGACAAGTCAATAGCAAGCCTCACATTGGACACAAGCGGTGATATAAGAAATATTGCCAAAAAAGTAACCTCGGTCATTAATACTGAGGATATGGAACTCTAGGTAAAAAACTACTACACTAATAATACAAATTATATAATCAACACAATGAGGGGCATAAGACCACATTTCAAAGCTGGTGACTTAGGGACTGTTCATTAATTATGGCCGTGTGGGGGGGGGGGGGGGGACTA